GCATTTGCCCACCTCACTGAGCTGTGAAATTGAAAAATGGTAATACACGGGAAGCTTCCTTGTAGATCATGCAGTGTGGTGCGAAGATGAGTTAGGATTAGTGTGGGGAGCAATTCGGACTAGACTAAGTTACTGGAATTAAGACTTATTCTATGCATCTGCTCTCCCACAATATGGTGCTGGGAGAGGAGAAAACAGCTTCTACGCAGCTGCCTCCAGTTCAGCCAATAAACTGTAGGACTTGCTCCTGATTGGAGAGCAGCATACTCGGCGTGTGGGCAGCCGAGTTAGGATTGGCGGAGGAGGACTATAAAGGAGGAGAGAGACGGCATGCACGGGGGAACATCTAAGGGGAACATCTAAGGGAACCTGTGCAGCCCCCGAGAGAGCCGGCCGGCGGTGTGCCGCTCCCCTGCGGAAGTGGGGAATGTGGCCAGGGGGAACTGCCCTTCCACGGAGGTGGAAGGGATAGTAGCCAACCCGGGAAGAACCAGCAGCAAACCCGGGGAGGGCCGAGCAGACGAAAGAACAGCGCAGGGTCCTGTGTCGTTCCTCCACGAAGAGGGGGAGCGACATAATGGTGCCGTGACTCGGATATGAAGCCTAGGCAGGGTCCTGTGTTGCTCCTCCACGAAGAGGGGGAGCGACATAATGGTGCCGTGACTCGGATAGGAAACCTAGGAGGGAAGAAACGGGAAGAAGTGGAAAATACCGGAGAGAGAGACTAGCAAAGAGCCTAGGGGAAAGCCGGATGAGAAAGGTGCCGGCAGAAGCTATTGAAAGCCTAGGCAGAGACTCGCATATGGACTGTGGGAAAGAAGTTAGGATTGAAAGCGAAAGTGAAAGCTTTCATAGACTCGGATGTGGACTATGGTGGGGAAGCTAGGAGATTGAAAGCGAAAGTGAAACCTGGAGGAGGCTTGGACTCGGATACGGACTGTGGGGAGTAGCCAGGAGAAATGAGAGGAATATTGTTGGAAGAAAACTTAAGGAAACATACCGGGTAGAGAAAAATGTTAGGGAGGATGAAGCCGCGAGTGCAGGCCAAGCCATCTTGGAATTCTTCAAGTCACCCTGGGGAGCAAGAGGCGAAGATCTGGAACCAGAGGCAGAGACGTGGGCCGCCAGGATTCGCCAGGTTAGTCCGGGGAACTTGGACTGAATGCCGGTGGTGGCGGAAACATTCGCGGAAGCCGCCGCGTGCAGAGAGAGCACGGGGCATTGGCGCGAGGCCGTGGTGCGGGCGCGAAGTGCGTGGAGACCGCGGAGCGTGCGCGCAGAGCCGGGAACCCGCCGGCGGGGCGAGGCGCCAGGAAGCCGCGCAGAGCTGTGAAGCCGCCGCGGGGCGGGCGCCGGCGGGGCGAGGCGCCGGGAAGCCACGCAGAGCCGTGAAGCTGCCGCGGGGCGAGGTGCCGAGAAGCAGCCTCGGGGCGGGCGCCGCCAGGAAGCCGCAGGGATAAGAGAAACAGAAGTTTAGAAGTAAAGTGAGAGAAATAGGAATGCTGGAAGATGGAAGTAAAATGGGAGAAATAGGAATGCCCAGAGATAGAGAAATAGAGAAATAGAAAGGCCTCCCTACAACACTGCAATGTGAGAGCTTGGATTCGGTCTGCCTGATTAAGTGAGGCGATGAGCACCTGGGCGGCTAGCAGCTTATGCGCCGCAGGTCACCGAAGACAGGCACGAATTAACATCAATAAGGCCTCCCCACAACACAGCGCTGAGAAGGCTTGGATTCGGTTTGCCTGATAGGTTTTGTAAGCACCTGCAGGCAGTTCTAGCAGAGTAGAGCATGCGCTGCAGGGCACCGAACACAGGCATGCATCAGTGCCTAGAAACCTCCTCACAACATGGCGAAGAGAGGACCCGGATTCGGTTTGCCTGATTGATAGGACTTGTAAGAACCTGTGGCAACTCTAGCAAGCAGAGCAGAGTGTGTGCCGCGGGACACCGAAGACAGGCGCGTATCAACGCCAAAAAATAAAAAGAAAGGGGGATCTGTGGGGAGCAATTCGGACTAGACTAAGTTACTGGAATTAAGACTTATTCTATGCATCTGCTCTCCCACAATATGGCGCTGGGAGAGGAGAAAACAGCTTCTACGCAGCTGCCTCCAGTTCAGCCAATAAACTGTAGGACTTGCTCCTGATTGGAGAGCAGCATACTCGGCGTGTGGGCAGCCGAGTTAGGATTGGCGGAGGAGGACTATAAAGGAGGAGAGAGACGGCATGCACGGGGGAACATCTAAGGGGAACATCTAAGGGAACCTGTGCAGCCCCCGAGAGAGCCGGCCGGCGGTGTGCCGCTCCCCTGCGGAAGTGGGGAATGTGGCCAGGGGGAACTGCCCTTCCACGGAGGTGGAAGGGATAGTAGCCAACCCGGGAAGAACCAGCAGCAAACCCGGGGAGGGCCGAGCAGACGAAAGAACAGCGCAGGGTCCTGTGTCGTTCCTCCACGAAGAGGGGGAGCGACAGATTAGCGCCATGCCATGCCTTTTTGAATGTACACCTCAAGCTGAACACTAGTGGGAGGAGCATTTTGTGAAGTGAGCTCAGTGAGAGGGAGCTGTGTTGGTGCTTAGCGTGCGGGGTCAAAGTCAGCAGCCCTGGATTCTAGAAAGATGCTCCCCGTGGAGTCCACCCTGGCTAAAGTTACCCAGGAGCACCTGGGGCTGGAGGTGTCCAAAGACGTGTGATGGGTCTGGCGCTGTGGCACAGAAGGTTAAACCTCTGTGTGCAATGCTGGCATCCCATACAGGTGCCGGTTTGAGTCCCGGCTGCTCCACTTCCCATCCAGCTCTCTACTAATGCGCCTAGGAAAGCAGTGAAAGGTGGCCCAAGTCCAAGAAGCTCCTGGCCCATCCCTGGCAGTTACAGCCATTTGGGAAGTGAACCCACAGATGGAAGATCTCTCTGTCTCTCTCCTATTTCTGTATCTCCGCCTTTCAAGTACATAAATAAATGTTTCTTAGAAAAAGCCAAAGATGTGTGATGCAGAGTGTAGTAGTTAGGATGCTACAGAGCCAGAACCCATAGGAGATGTACATGGAGTTAGGAAGGGGAACCTCCCAGGGGAATGGGCCCACATGCTGTTGGCAGCAGAGATGTCCCATGGCAGGGGGTCTGCAGGCTGGAGACCCTGAGATGCCCACAGCATGGCTGGGTCCAAGCTCTAGGGCCTCAGAACCAAGGTAGATGGAGGTCAACTCTCAGCTCAACACTGGAAGGCTGGGTGCCAGCAAGGGCCCTGGAGTCCAAATCAGGAGTCGAGCCTGTCCCAGTTCTCAGAGCCGGAGACATTTATCCTCCATTTTATCCTCTCCAGAGCGCCAACCAAATGGCAGCGCCACCTGACATGGAGTCCGTGCCTTCCCACAGGGTCCACCCAGACCTACGTGCTACTTGTGCTTGGAAACACGCTCACAGACACCCAGAACAACACTATTCCAGATTCCTAGGGATTCCTGAGTTGAGTCAAGTTCACACTCACCATTCACCATCACAGTGAGTGACCCAGAGCGGACTGATTCTGTACACTGGGCGAGCTGTTGCAGGTTAGTTCCCGGGCAAGATCCCCTTCCTGCAGAGGCCATGGTTGTCAGCCTGGCCTCGGCTCTGTCCTGCAGCAGTGAGACTGCAGAAGGCATGAATGCGTTTCCAGGAGAACTGCTGCCGCCAGCATTCGGCAGAGCGCTGATGTGAGGAGCCTGGATGCGAGTTGATGTGAGGAGCCTGGATGCGAGTGAGCTCCCTGATCACTGTGCTGCACGGACATGTGCAGCATCACATCAGGATCAGGATGATCTGGGGCCAGAGGGACGCGGTGGATGAGGTCAGCAGTACTGGGGTTCCATGCATCTGCCTCTGCATGGCCAGTGTGGGACAGGAAACACTGGGGTTGGGAACCAATGGTGCCAAACCCAGAGAATAAAGAGAAAGGTCACGTTGGCTGACGCCAGACCCGTTTTTCTTCACTAAGTCCTATTTCTTACTAAGGCAGAGTAAGGTGTTGACTCCACGTGGTATTCCTTCTTCCATAGGCAGACAACTTTGGTTTAACGGACTACTTAGTCAGCTTCCTAAAATTCCTTTGGCGTGTGTTACGGCATCCCTGTCTCTCCAACGACACCAACGTCCCTGTGGTTGGAGAATATCACTTTCCCCAGGACTCAGCGCAGGCCTGAATGAGGCTTCACTTGCTGTCTTTATACAGCTGTGACTGCCTTGGACAGAAAGAAAGGAGAGCAGCGAGTCCAGGCTAGGTGACTGGTCGGAGGGAGCAGAACCAGGCTCTGGGATGGGGGCTGGAAGGTGGCCAGGCCACTGGTGGCCCAGGAACACGGAGCTCCACTGCAGACAGGAGTTAAAATAAATCAGCCAAGACCAAGGTCCAAACAGCGGGATAAGCAAAGGTCACACATGATTGGACACGGGAGAGGATGGTGGCTACACATCAGGGAGCTGAGAAAGAGAAAGAAAGGAGGTACAAACCTGTGGTCAGCTTGTTTTATTTAGTTATATTTATTTATTTTGAAATCGTAATTCCTTAACTGAATGACGGCTACCAGCATAAGGGTGTGGTCTTAGAAGACTGGGGCTAACTTTGATGTCACTTGGAATTGTGGCTGATCTCAGGCCAGGGCCTGGAGGAGTCCACTCAGGGTCCATGTGGATTTTGCCCACTCACAGTCCAGCTGGCCTGACACACGTGGGCACCGGGGAGCCTCAGAGAGTGTGGGAAGCTGGCCAGAGTCAGGGCACCCTATGGCTGCCTGTTGCTGAGAGGGGCAGGGAACCAGGGCCAGGCTGTGATGGGGGCTTTGGGGGGAGGACAGGCCAGCACGCGGATCGAGCGTTAAAGAGGGGGAAAAAAGGACCTGGAGCAGAGCCAACGGAGCAGAGGCGAAGGCCCCGGCCGGAGGTCCGCAGCTCCGCTGTCCTGGGACAGGCGCTGGCTGGAGGTGCCCTCTGGGTCCCTCGCGCACAGCCGGCACCTTCTGATGCACAACTCGCTCCTGGGAACATGAGGATTTCCAGAAGAGTCGCAGGAAAGTCAACAGGGTATTAAGACAGATCCACAGAAAACGAAAGCTCAGTGTGAAGGCTCGGGCTGCCGAGGTGGAGGCGTGTGTCCTGCGGGGGAGGAGGCGTGGGGGGTGGCCAGGAGACAGCGGCAGCTTTGTGCACCCGGGGCCCGGCGGGCACCACTGCTGTTGCTGCTGCTGCTGCTGCTGCTACATCTCCAGGGGCTGCTCCAGGGTCCCGGCCACGATGCAGGGGCTGCTCTGCGCCTCTCTGCTCCTCACTGGGCTGGCACGGGTAAGTCCTGTCTCCTTACTCCGGAGACTTCAGCCGTTCTTAGCGCTTCTGGCTAAAAATGTAACCGAAGAGGATGGGGCAGGCGGCGGCGGGGGCGTTACTTGTGCAAACACTTGGTGAGAAGTATGGAGCCATTTTTCTCTCCAGATCAAATTCTGTTTGAGTTCATGAGCCTCAGGAAAGAAATGTGAGGCTGCGGTGCAGAGGCCGACTTGCCGTGTGTGTGAAGTCCCCGAACTTGGCTGTGTAGTTTTGTCATCAGAGTCTAACGCGCGGCGCGGTGCTGCGTGGTGCGGTGGCCAAGACAGCGGATCTCTCCCGCGGGGTCCAGGCTTCGTTATTTGCAGGGGCCCCGGGAGAAGTGGGCTTTGACACTTTGTGCAGTTGTGCCTGTCCTGCTGGGAAGGAAGTTTTCAGAACATTCACATTTCTTAAGCATTCTGTTATTGAACATTCTGGTTTGAGAGGTGGTGGGGGTGGGAGGGTGGAGAGAGAGAGAAAGAGAAAGAGAGCTCCCATTTCCTAGTTTATTCCCTTAACCCGTTGTCTCTTCTCAATCCATGCATTCCCCCCCCCCCCCAAAAAAAAAAGGGAATCAGTCCTTGGGACCTTTGAATAGCTCATGCGGCAGACCAAAGGGAAGTTTGATTTCGTATGAGTGATTTATGGCTTCGTGTGTTTCAATAAAAGATTACAACAGGGTGCCTTCTTTTTTATTTTTATTTATTTATTTTTAAAAGATTTATTTATTTATTTGAAAGGCAGAGTTACACAGAGAGGAGAGGCAGAGACAGAAAGAGAGAGAGGTCTTCTGTCCACTGGGTCACTCCCCAAATGGCCGCAACGGCTGGAGCTGGGCCAATCTGAATCTATATGCCAGGAGCTTTTTCCAGGTCTCCTACATGGTGCACGGGTCCAAGGACTTGGGCCATCTTCTACTGCTTTCCCAGGCCATAGCAGAGAGCTGGATCGGAAGTGGAGCAACCGGGACTAGAACCAGCGCCCATGTGGGATGACAGCACTGCAGGCGGAGGCTTTACCCGCTTTGCCACAGCACCGTCCCTGCAGGGTGCCTTCTTTATTGATTTATTTACATGGTGGAGATGATGGCTGGCCTGGGAGACAGAACTTCTGAGGCCTTCCCAACATTTCAAGACTATGGAACCACCTCCGAGTTCCTAGCTGATTCAGGCAGTAAGCTGTGGCTGTATCTCAGGAAGCAAGGGACTGGAAACGCTACCCTGCGGGTAGATTTAATCTTTCAGAAGCATCAGAGGAAGTCAGGGGTCTGGGTCCTTCCTGTCGTGGCCAAGACTCCCCAGGGGAAGTGGAACTGGGCCTCGGCCCTGCTAGCCACCTTCCTGAGAAAAAGCCTGCCACTGATTGGGCTGCGTGTTCTTCAAACAGCCAGTGCTGCAAAGGAGAGAAGTGCTAAATGAAACAACACACAGACAGAGGTGCTCTGCGTGGAGCAGTGAGAAAGCACTGGTTTGGGCTTAGCTTCCTTTTGTGGCTGAGCTGAAGGAGACCTTCCATTTAGAACGCCCGCTGCGTGCCAAGCGCCTTAGTCGTCCTCTCAGCCCTCAGAGTAGCCTTACAAGGTGTGCATTACTCACCCCATTTGAAAATTTCTGTTTATTTATTTTCATTTTATTTGAAAGGGAAAGGGACAAAGAGAGACAGAGAGATCTTCCATCTGCCTAATCACTCCCCAAATGTCTACAACAGCCAGTGTTGGGCCAGGCCAAAGCTAGGAACCTAGAATTCTATCTCTGAAAGTATTTTGGTGAAAAATTGTGAAATCCATGAGCTTTTTTTTTTCATAAAACACATTTTCCATGAACTTTTGGACAACCCTTTATATGTCTGAAGAAAGAACAGAGACTTCCTTGTTTTTACCCACACACCTGTTATTTCTGGGCCCTTCTGTCTTCCTGCACCCTGAGTTCCTGTCTGCAGTACTGTCCCTTCAGACAGATCTGCCATAGTGTTGCATGTGAAACTGGTCCACTGGCAATAAGTTTCTAAAGTTTTTGTTTGTCTAGAGAGCTATTTCACCTTCATTCTTAAAAGATCCTTTCACTGTTTATAGAATTCTAGATTGACGAGTTTTTGCTATTTTTTCTTTTTCTTTCTTTTTTTTTTTTTTTGACAGGCAGAGTGGACAATGAGAGAGAGAGACAGAAAGGTCTTCCTTTTTTTGCCGTTGGATCACCCTCCAATGGCCACCGTGGCCGGCGCACCGCACTGATCTGATGGCAGGAGCCAGGTACTTCTCCTGGTCTCCCATGGGGTGCAGGGCCCAAGCACTTGGGCCATCCTCCACTGCACTCCTGGGCCACAGCAGAGAGCTGGCCTGGAAGAGGGGCAACCGGGACAGAATCCGGCACCCCTACCGGGACTAGAACCCGGTGTGCCAGTGCCGCTAGGTGGAGGATTAGCCTAGTGAGCCGCAGCGCTGGCTGCTATTTTTTCTTTCTTTTAGCATTCTCTCAGGGCCTCTCTCCTCCCCTCCTCTCTTGCCTCCTCCTTTTAGCAGGAAGTCAGATCTCATTCCTATTCTCCTGTACATAACACTTTCCTCCTCTCAGGCTGTTGCCCTGTTGCGTTTCAACAGTGCTGCCTTTTGACCTCAGAGATGCAAGACCAGGACACTCAGGTGTCACCAGGGGGGCAGTCTGGGGAGTGGGCTCTTCCTCAGGAAATGATGATGAAGAAACCCAGCATGGGGTGTCCCACAAACGGCCAGGCGTGGAAGGAGCACCTGCAGGGAGGCAGCATGAGCCAGAACAGAGACAGCTTAAGGTACCACGCTCAGAAGTTCAGACAACACACTGCAGACAGTAGGGGGCACTGATGGGCTTTAAGGAGAGGAGTAATACAATCAGATGCATTGTTTTATTATTTGGAAGTGATAATCATTTTATTTATTTGAATGTGAAAGGAGAGTGAGAGAGAGAGAGAGAGAGAGAATCTTCCATCTGCTAGTCCGTTCCCCAAATGCCCACAACAGTCAGGCTGAAGCCAGGAGCCTGGAACTTAAATCTGGTTCTCCCATGAGGGTGGTAGGAACCCAAGTACTCGTGCCATCATCTGTTGCTTCCCAGGATTTGCATTAGCTGGAAGCTGGAATTGGAGGCAGCTCTAGGACTTGAACCCAGCCACTCCAATACAGGATGTGGGTGTCCCAAGCCATGTCCTAACTAGTGTGCCAAACGCCTGCCCCCGGCTGTGTTCTTTGAGGAGACCCCAGCAGTGGCCATGTGGTAGAGGCAGTTGAGAAGTCATTCTCATTCTGGAGAGGAGGAAGGCCAGGCAGGAAATCATCATAATCGTACTTAGCAGCAGTGCAATGGGGACGAGAGACTAGAGCTAGGGATAGGAGGATGGCAGAGTCGGCAGGCTGAGTTACAGAGTGTGTGTGCAAGGAGAGGGAGAGGGAAGATGACCTGAGTGACTCCCAGCTTCCTGGCTCCAACCTTGGGACAAGCTGTTGGGGCTGAATGATGATGAGTTTTGGACCCGAGTTTTTCCTGTGAGACATTTGGGCGCAGAGGTACAGGAGGCAGGCAGCTCTAGGGGTCTAGGGCTCAGTGGAGAAGTCCCAGTTGGAAATTTAGTTTGAGATTACATAGCATAGAAACCGAAGGCAGAGTGGTTGTAGACATTGCCATGAGATGGTGTAGAGAGCAATGCACCAAGGTCGGGGAACACCGATAAGCCTAAATCTAAGTTGAATGCAGTGTTGACGGGAGTGTGCAGTGTGAGTATGTTGAGGGGTAGGAGGATTAGGAGGGTCAGGTGTAAACCAGGCCAGGACAGCGGAGAGGAGCCACAAGGGTCAAACGCCCTAGAGAGGTGGCAGACGACCAGGACTGATGAGACTCTGTGAACAGGAGACCGGCTCTGAGCCACAGAACCTGAGACTCAGCAGTTTGTTCGGTGTCAAAGCGGGTTTGCAGAGCGCCTGTGCTAGGAGAAGGAGGAGAGGAAGGGTTGAGAGCTCAAGCTCTGGAATCTGCCAGCTTTACTTAAGCTTTGCCTCTACCACGTAAGGGTGGATGACCCAGGATGGTTTAAACAATCTGCACTTCAGGGTTCTTATTTCCAGAGTGGGCCAGTTTCCCATTGCTACTGTGACAAATCAATGCAAGACAATGCAAGTTCATTATCTTAGAGTTCTGGACATTTGAAGTCCAAACACGGAGCTGACACAGCTGACATTAGGCATCCCCAGGACTGCGTTCCTTCTGGGAGCTCCACAAAGAGACCTCATTCTTGACCTTTCCTGGCGTTTCAAGGCTCTCTCCCTTCTCTGGCCCATGATTCCCTTTCAGCAGTGGCATTGCTCCCACTTTGGGCATCATGTTTCCCATGATGTGCCTCCTCCTCCCAGGTGGACCCAATGTACTTGATCACCTGGGTAGTCCAGGATGCTAATCTGCACATCCTTGACTTGACTGCATCTGCAGAGCCCCAGGGAAGGCAACGTCTTAAGATGCTTGGGAAACAAGGCATGGACATCTTTGAGAGGACCACTATTCTGCCTATGGGCTAACTCTTGCAGTAACTCTTGCAGTAGTGTTGCTATGAAGGTTAAATGACAAAGCCATGTAAAGTCCCTGGCACATAGGCAGCACCATGCTCTTGCATTTTATGAGTATTGCAGTGAGCAGGACACAAATCTTGTTCTCGATCTCACATTCATGATGTGGGAATCATAAACAAGTCAATGAAATATATAAACAACAAGGTCTGTGGGGAAGGGGATGGGGTGAGGTCCTATTTTATAAAGTGCAAAGAAGGCCTTGCTGAAAAATGAGAGCACAGCTCTAAACAGGGTAGAGGAGTGAGCCGGGAAGGTATCTCAGGGCAGAGCAAATGTTGATTACTCAAAGAGCTGGGAGACAGGGGTGGCTGGAGTGAAGTGAGCAAGGGGGTGTGAGAGACAGTGTAAAGTTAGGAAGGGATGCACAGCCCTGGGGGCAGTTTGGATTTCCTACTGACATGGGAGTCACGAGGAAGCTCGTGACTTCCTCGTGACGTGGCACTCAGGAGCAGGGAGTGCCATGAACTGACATATTTTAAAAGACTCCTCTGGATGCTCAATGGACAAAGAGGAAGACATGAAGAATCTTCTGGAAACTATGGTAATCATTGAGGTAAAAAACAATGGTGGCATGGATCACAATAGTAGCGAAGGGGGTATAAAGAATGATCAGGGTAAGTATAATGTGAAGATGCAACCAAGGGGCTGGTGCTGTAGTACAGCAGGTTAAGCCTCTGCCTGTGATGCCAGCATCCCATATGGGCACTGGTTCAAGTCCTGGCTGCTCCACTTCCTATCCAGCTGTCTGCTAATGGCCTAGGAAAGCAGCAGAGGATGGCCCAGCAGAGGATGGCCCCTGCACCCATGTGGGAGACCCAGAAGAAGCTCCTGGCTCCTAGCTTTGGCCCGGCCCAGCCCTGGCCACTGGGGCTATTTGGGAAGTGAACCAGCGGATGAAAGATCTCTCTCTGTCCCTCCCTCCCCCACCGACACCGACCCCATCTTATAACTCTTTCAAATAAATAAATAAATCTTTAAAAACAAAAAGTTTAATTCAAATAAAAAGGTGTAAGCAACAGGCATTACTAATGGGATTGGCTACAAAAAGTACAAAAGAATTGAGAATGATCTGATCCCAGGATATTTTGGAAAAATGAAATTGCATTTGCTCAAACAGGGAAGTGCACAGGAGAACAGGTTGGAGGGGGAGATTGGGAGTTTGATCTTGGTCATGCTACGTTTGCCTTGCCTGTTAAACCTCCAAGTGGGGATATGAAGTAGGAGAGGAATCTGGGTTTAGGGGAGTGGTCTGAGAGGGAGATTTGAGATGTAGTGAGTGAGGGCTTAACCACAGGGGTCCAATATTTACAGTCAGGAGGGTGAGAAGAAAGTAATCCGTGGGGAAGAAGAGTGATGTTTTAGAAGACAAGTGAAGAAGCTGATGGCAGACTGAGTTTTTTAAAAAAAATTTATTTATTTGAAAGTCAGAGTTACACAGAGAGAGGGGAGGTAGAGACAGAGAGAGAGGTCTTCCATCTGCTGGTTCAGTACTCAGATGGCTGCAATGGCTGGAGCTGCGCTGATCCGAAGCCAGGAGCCAGGAGCTCCTTCTGGATCTCCGATGTGGGTGCAGAGGCTTGGGGCCATCTTCTACTGCTTTCCCAGGCTATAGCAGAGAGCTGGATCAGAAGTGGAGCAGCTGGGACTTGAAACAGCGCCCACATGGGATGCTGGCACTGCAGGCAGCGGCTTTACCCGCTATGCCACAGTGCCAGCCCTGCTGAGAGAGTTATTACAATTCACCACACAGTATTCTATCTAGTTAGGGGAATCCTCGTCTTATAAGACCTCTGAATTTCACATGAGGACCCTTTTCTAACCTTGCTTTTATCATCAAATGCAGTTCTGCTGCAGGGCACAGGGCGCTGGGCCAGCAGACACAGCGCCAGACAGCAGGCCTGGAAAAGCATCAGAGGAGTATCAACGGAAAGAGTTCTGTCACTGGCCATGCAAATGTCCGTCTCAGAAGCCCAGCTGCCCTCTTGGAGTGAGCTTGGTGAGGGATGGCTGTGGGTGCTGCCACATCTGTGCCAAGCAGCCGGGGGCCCTCTGCAACGAAGCTGACCTGTGCGACCCGCACAAGGGGCTGTACTGTGACTACTCAGCAGACAGGCCTAGGTACGAGACCGGAGTGTGTGCATGTAAGTGTCTTCTTCTGGACCTGCTGGGAGGTTTTTCCCTGCAGTTGGGAGCTTGCAGGGGTTTAGCTTGGCTGAATAGGAAGCGGGTTGAACTCTCCTGCACCAGTGGGGATTAGCTCCCTCGTATTGGACCCCATGTGCAATCAGCAGACGTTCATCCTTGTTCAGAAACCCATCATTTTCATTGAAGTGATCTTGTAACGCTTTTTTTTTTTTTTTTTGACAGGCAGAGTGGACAGTGAGAGAGAGAGACAGAGAGAAAGGTCTTCCTTTTGCCGTTGGTTCACCCTCCAATGGCCGCCGCGGCCGGCGCGCTGCGGCCGGCGCACCGCGCTGATCCGATGGCAGGAGCCAGGAGCCAGGTGCTTTTCCTGGTCTCCCATGGGGTGCAGGGCCCAAGCACCTGGGCCATCCTCCACTGCACTCCCGGGCCACAGCAGAGGGCTGGCCTGGAAGAGGGGCAACCGGGACAGAATCCGGCGCCCCGACCGGGACTAGAACCCGGTGTGCCGGCGCCGCTAGGCGGAGGATTAGCCTAGTGAGCCGCGGCGCCGGCCCTTGTAACGCTTTTAATGATAGGAAATAAATTATGTAAACAAGTCCGACTTCTTAAAGTGCCACACCATGACAGCTTTTGTTAATCTTGTCAAAAGCAAAGTGAATTCAGCCTTTTGTGTAGTGAAGAAATAATCTTGCCTATAAGAGGTATATCCTATATTCAGACATCGTCTTTTAGCCTCAGCCTTCTAAACTATGCATTGAGTTCATGTGCTTTTTAATGCAGCAGATTTGTAAAAAGGAGGTGGGGGTCACCCAAACCACAACCTGACCCTAGGCTTCATGGGGTTCTAACTTCTGGTGATTGATTCAGATGTTTAAAGCTATGCAGTCCACAATAATTCAGGATGCAAAATTGTTTCAGATAAAAAGCAACATGTCTAAGGGAAAAGGAGTGCCTGTGTCAGCTGGGCAATTTAACCACTCTATAGAAAAGCCTATGTGGGAAGGCAATTTTCCGCTGGAAGTTTGCTGTGAGCATGGGACAGAAGCAAATATTTGTAGCAGGACTGCGTGTGGACATCTCTTCAAGTGTGGCAGCCTGCTCCCCTGTCAGCACCATACTGTCCTGGGCTCTGAGTTCCAAACTTGGTTGCTCAGCTGAGCAAACTTCATCAAGTTGTTTAATCCCTCTGAGCCTCAGTCACATCAAACGTACTTCCTATCTTAGAGAGTTGCTCCGATCAAGGAAAGTAATGACATAAAGATCTACAATACAACATCTGGGATGCCCCAGGTGCTCAGAAATGGTTACTACTTGGGGAATTCAATGGGGGAAATATGTCCTACCAATGACTTAACACCAGGACACCCTTTGCTCCCAAACTGGGCAGGTTATTTCATTAACTTAACAAATACTTGGCTAGGCACTGTGGCTGGCAAAAGACGTACACAATGTATGTGTGTGTGTGTGGGGGGAGATATTGGCCTTGCCCTCCCAACATCCAAGTTCACTGTGCCAGACAGACCTTTCCAGAAGTAACTTCACACAAATGCGATGAGACTTTGAATGGGGCCTACGCACGAGGATGGGGACAGGGCTAATCTGTAACTGGGGTCATAAGCTGTGGCCTGGAGGCCATATCTAGCTCACAGCCTTTTATAAATAATGATTTATTGGAGCACAACCCATTCGCTTACATAGCCCGTAGCTCCTTTTCAGGGGCAGTTATAGTTTCAGCAGACACCAAATGCCTGCAAAGGTGAAGATATTTTCTATTAGGCTCTTTACAGAAAAGTTGCTGATCCCTGAGCTAGAAAAATATATTTTCTTTCTTTTTTTAGATCTTCCATATGGGGGTTTACTCCCTAAACGCCTGCCACAGACAGGGCTGGGTCAGGCTAATGCCAGGATCCAGGTAGATCGCCCATGTGGGTGGCAGGGGCCCGTGAACTTGGGCCTCCTCCACTGCCTTTGCAGGCACATTAGCAGGAAACTGGATTGGAAGTAGAGAAGCACACGAGTTTCCCAGAACTTTTTTTTTTTTTTTCTTGCAAGCTTGAATTCTATCATTGGCGACACATATTGTTGATTGTTTTCTGTGAAGTGATGGTCTCACTTTGTGTCAGGAAAATGTCTTCCAAAGGTCCATATCTGAATAACCATAGTTTATCTGTCTTTTTTTTTTTTTTAAAGTAAAATACACACTTACAGTGTGGCTAGTTTGGCTCACAGTTTGAATGACAGCACTGGTGCTTTTCCTCAAGGCAGCCTTTGTACTCAGAACGTTCTATGTCTACTTCCTGTTTTGTCATATAGAGTATTAAGAGGGCATGTTCTTGATGTCTGATTTAATAAAATGATTTTTCTTGTGTCATCCAGGACAATTCTTAGGTAAAACTAGCTTTCAGAACTTTTCTTAAACGTACAACTGCATGGCAAGGAAAAATGCAACGACTACTTGTCCAGGTCGTTTCAGGCTAAGGCACCTGCAGTTTTGACCACTGTTGTTTTTGTGCTGCCAGTGCAAATATGTATGTAGTAGATATTTGTATTTTGAAAGGAATTCTGAGTGTGCAGGTGCCTTGAAAGCATCTCAGATACTGCCAAGCAGTGGATAGACCACCCTTGGAGACCCCAGATTTTCCCCTCGAGGAAGTGAAAGTCTCCTCTAAAGCCTCTTGGCAACAGTAACAAAAGAATTCCCTTACCTTGCAGGACTGTGGCTAAATAATTCATGGTTTCTTCAGACATTCACTTACCGCGTCTTCCTAACCTACTGCCAGACACCTCGGGAGACCTGTCTCATCAGCACCAACTCAGCTGTTAGATGTGTAATCGCCATCTCATGGCCACATTTATGGTGATTTAAAACAAAGGACTTTACTCCAGAACAGGGTCTTTATGTGATCTTAATTAGGAGTGACCACAGATGTTCACTGATTCCAAATGGGGTCTAAGGAATTGGGAACTGTATTTCATAAAAAAAGATTTAACTATTTCTTCTATGGTTTATTATGGGAGGTGTAGACCATCATCCCAACTCATGAGCTCTTTGGTGATTGTGCTCTTTCTCCTTTTCAGACCTTGTAGCTGTGGGATGTGAGTTTAACAGGGTCCATTATCATAATGGCCAAGTGTTTCAGCCCAACCCCCTGTTTAGCTGCCTCTGTGTGAGCGGGGCCATCGGGTGTACACCGCTGTTCATCCCACGGCTGGCTGACCGTCTCTGCTCTGGAGCCACGGGTCGAAAGAAGTCTGATCAACTCAACTGTGGCCTGGGACCATTACAACAGCAGCTGTCAGCAAGCTACAAAACCATGTCAGGTGCTCTAAGTGCAGCTACTTTTTATGTATGACTTTTGGTGGTTTGCTTCCGTTTTTTTTTTTTTTTTTTTTTTTAAATACACCACAGCTACTCTGTAAGTACTTATTGATTGGTGCTCAGAGACTCAGAGTGTGTACCACTGTTTTAAGTCTGCTTCAGACACGCACAGTCTAAGTATCTGAAAAGGAAACTTAGATTTTTTCCAATACAATAATTCAGTTTTTCAAAACTTCAGTAGATCAGGAAACTTTGCAAACATCGTATACCTCAGCTTATTCCCAATCTCTTCTTGGGAAAAATAAACTAAATATTGTTCATGTGTACCCTGGAAAAACTTTTATTTGTATTGTTCTATTACGGGCAAGAAATGTGGTCATCCAGTTCCCTGAATTTTCAAAGGCACATTATCTATATGGCACAAGCAGAAATGGAAGACTGTTGATGAAAAATATTTGAGGACTAACATGTTTTGAACTTGTATTAGTTCTGAAACTAGAAAACTGATGGACAGTACTTTCATTCACTGTAAAACTGAAGTTCAACATTTACCAATCCTGTTCTCTAACACACCATGCCGTGTACACGAACAAACATACAGGCATTGGTAAGCAGGCTACTCATGTATGTGTGTAGTCAGCAAAATGAAACAGGATTCTTTATTTCTGATCTTGAGCACCTGGCCTCTCGCAGTTAGCTTAAATCTATTCATACGCCTTGTATTCTGGTCTGCTCTAAGCATTTTTATTTCAGTGCCAGGGTATTCTGATGACATGGGTTTCAAAAACACCAGCAAGTGAAACATAGGAGAAGATGGACTCAGAAGGGACAATACATTGTTCCCATCTGTGGTCTAAAGCAGAAATCAGGAACGCTTTTTTTCTTGAAATTTACAGCTTAGTTAAAATGTCATGGAAATACAAAATATCTCTATGTGTTAAAAACTCCCAAGTTTACTTTCATTATGGGGATCTTTAATTAAAGCAACTATGAACAGAGACATGAGTTTTTACAGATCTAAAAACTCTAGGACAGAAACATTTTCAAGGCCTCCAGTACGCCACTTGATTTGAAAACAAATTTTTAACAGGATATGATGAATTTGCATTTATTATACATATTCAGCTAACAGCATGATACCCTTAATGCTCTGAAACCTCTGAAATTAGAAGCCAAATTGTTCCTTTTTCAAAACATAAAGGAACAATTGGTTTTCTGCACTGGATCTTAGGGACTCAATATAAGGCTCTTTTTGGAACCCATGTGTGACCTCTCTTGGAGAGACTGCCCAACAGCAACAGTTTTCCCTGGTAAAGCTCCTTGGATCAAGTTCAAGGGGAGGCATCTAATGGTCATTTTTAATGTTTTTTTGCTTCAATCAATCATTCAATCAATCCTCCCAAGTGCTCTCCGGGACTTAAGACTTACACCTAGTTTTTTTTTTTTTTTTTTTTGACAGGCAGAGTGGACAGTGAGAGAGAGAAACAGAGAGAAAGGTCTTCCTTTCACCCTCCAATGGCCGCCGCGGCTGGCGCACCGCGCTGATCCGAAGCCAGGAGCCAGGTGCTTCTCCTGGTCTCCCATGGGGTGCAGGGCCCAAGCACTTAGGCCATCCTCCACTGCACTCCCGGGCCATAGCAGAGAGCTGGCCTGGAAGAGGGGCAACTGGGACAGAACCCGGCGCCCCGACCGGGACTAGAACCCGGTGTGCCGGCGCCGCTAGGTGGAGGATTAGCCTAGTGAGCCGCGGCGCTGGTCCCTAGGTTTGTTTTAAAGGAAGTATATGCTCAGTCTAATGTCTCTTCTCTGTTTAACTGTGACACTGTATTTATGACCCATAAAGGAATTTGGCTTTTCAATGAACCACAATGACAAAAACACACACTTTTAAGATTTACTTGGGATAATAATTTATATGGTCTACGGCTGGGTCAGTATGAAGCACGCAATGACATAATGCCCTTATGCTCTTCCTAATGCTCACCAAACCCTAAGCTTTACTTTAAAATTCTCCTCTAGTTTTCTTGCTTTTTAATGAATATTGAACAAATTACACTGAACTGCAGCTCTTGGTTTAACTTTGAGGGTAGTTACTGGTAATGCGATAATCTAACCTACCTTTATTTATTGCAGATGTGTGCCAGGTTTCTAATCTGCTCCCTGCATTGAGATCTTTAAACTGTTGTCTACCTTCCAGGTATCTTCATTGTTTCTGCTTCTTTTCTCTCAGTTCTCTGTGCAAGTGCAAGATCCTCCTGTAGGAACACTGAAAGTAGTATCAGACTATCATTTTCCTTCTAAGACAGCATATACTTCAAAAATGATTGATTTTTCCTGTCAAGAAGGTATTTTCCGGGTCTTTTGGAGTTTAAAATCAATACTTTGAAGTGATATAGCCAGAATTTTGTTATGCACAAGTGCAGATTCAAATTACCTTTCTCCTAACACATCAAGATTCACAAAAATTTTAGGGAATGCCTGGAGAAATAAACCAACATGTAGTTTGCTTAAAATGAACCCCAGGGCTTGATTTAGTCATGACTATAGCAGGAATCTCCCAATGGATTTACATGGAGCTGGAAGAATTATTTATTCTTTTCCTTTCCCATTTCTTCTAAGCAATAAATACGGGAGTGGCTCCATTTATCCACCCACTCACTGACCCATCTATAGATACATTCATTATTGCTGTGTCTTTCCATAATGATTTGAAATAGCTAGCCAATTAAGAGAATATTGTGGACTCAATTACATAGAGGACTGAATGAATGAGATTACACAATTGCAATGACTTACTATATAATGATTAGATATTTGAATTCAGTGTAACATTACTTCAATTTATTAGGAAATTTTCGAAAAGACTTTTTTTTTATATAAAGGAAAGCTGTTCATTGATAGCCTAATTCTCAAATACAATTTTTTGTGTTTTAGATTTTAACCAATCATAACATTTAATATTAAGATCACACTGTTCTGATATATATCTCAGATTTCCTAATCCTGTTAATGATGCTCATTTCACTGTCTGGTGGGAATATCAGGCATGAAACAGAACCAGAGAGAAGTCAGACATTAATCAGAAAATAAGATCAGATTTAATACTGAGAGGATGGGATAAGCAGAAAGATGCAAATGGAGAAATCTACTCAGTTTTTCAAAGATAAGTTAGTTTTTTAAAAAATTATTTATTTGAAAGGCAGAGTTACAGAGAAGAGATAGGGTGGGCGGGAGGGAAGAAAGGGGGGAGAGAGGGAGAAAGGGGTTGGGGGGGAGAGGAGAGGGGGAGGGGGGAGGGAGAGAGAGAGAGGAGAGAGAGAGAGAGAGAGAGAGAGAGACACTTATTTGCTGGTTTTCCCAAATGGCTGCAATGGCCGGGGCTGGGCCAGGTAGAAGCCAGGAGTGAGAAGTTTCTTCCAGTTCTCCTATGTGGGTGCAGGGGCCCAGGCACTTGGGCCATCTTATAGTGCCCTCCCAGGCCATCAGCAGGGAGCTGGGTCAGAAGAGGAGCAGCCAGGTCTTGAACTGGCACCCACATGGGATGCCAGCATCACAGGTGGTGGCTTAACTGACTACAACACAGCGCTAGCCCCCAAGACGATATTTTTATTCCTGCTAAGAAACTGGACTGTAACACTTGATTAAAAAGTAATTTAGGGACTGAATAAAGGGAGATAGAATGATGAATTAGACCACAAGGTTCTCTTATTTCAAGTTGCATTATATAAAAACGAAGACTCAGGTCTTTTAAAAATTAGCATAAAATGATTAAAAATTATCTATGTAAGTACATTTCTATGTATATACAAATATACTTTCCCCTTGCATTTTAGCTTATAGGAACCTCCCACTTATTTGGAAAAGAAAATGTCTTGTGCAAGCAACAAAGTGGACTCCTTGCTCCAGAACATGTGGGATGGGAATATCTAATAGAGTAACCAACGAAAACAGCAATTGTGAAATGAGAAAAGAGAGAAGATTGTGCTATATTCAGCCTTGTGACAGAAACATATCACAAACAGTAAAGGTAATGTAAGGTTTAATTATATTTCACTTAATTATAATTCATTGTTAAGAGACTCCTGAAGTCTGTGTGCACATGCTGTTTCGGAGGGAGGGGTGATGTTTGGTTCTAGGAAAAAAATCACTTCCTTGGGGCTGGTGTTAGGGAGCAGGTAGACCTGCTGCCGGCTGCTCCCATTTCTGATCCAGCTTCCTGATAATGGCCTGGGAAAAGCAGTGGGAGATGGCCCAAGTGTTTGGGCTCCTGCATCTGTGTGGGAGACCTGGATGAAGCTCCTGTAACCACTGTTGCCAAATGGGGAGTGAACCAGCAGATGGAAGATCCATCTCAAACAACAACAACAACAAAATCAACTCTCTTTTAACTCTGAAAGTTACACTATCTCAGAGGAAAATATTAACTTAACATTGTAGGGAAAATTCTACCAGAATTTTACGAGTGGTAATGTTAACCTGCTGATTCTAAAGCATCTGCTTAATGTGGGTCTAGATCAGCCTGATTTGCTGTGCTCTTCCTCCACGTATATTAAGAGTAGAACCTTGGCTGGCGCCTCGTCTCACTAGGCTAATCCTCTGCCTGCAGCGCCGGCACCCCAGGTTCTAGTCCCGGTTGGGGTGCCGGATTCTGTCCCAGTTGCTCCTCTTCCAGTCCAGCTCTCTGCCGTGGCCCGGCAAGGCAGTGGAGGATGGCCCAAGTGCTTGGGCCCTGCACCCACATGGGAGACCAGGAGGAAGCACCTGGCTCCTGGTTTCGGATCGGCGCAGTGCACCTGCTGTAGCGGCCATTTGGGGGGTGAACCAATGGAAGGAAGACCTTTCTCTTTGTCTAACTCTGCCTGTCCAGAAAAAAGAAAAAAAAAGAGTAGAACCTTTTCAGATGTTTTTCTCCTCCATTAATTGTATGAAGTGAAGCCAATGAATGAGGATTTGGGCTGCATTCCATAATTATGAAAACAGATACTTACATCAGAGTAGGTAAGTTCTGATCTTAGTTATGCATCTCCAACTTGGAGGGGGACCACATCATTTCCAAAACGCTGTCCTTGGAAAGTCCATCTGCCAAATGACCATGATAAAATATTTACCCTAAGATGACTTGATATTATGAGAGCTGATCTTTTTTTTTTTGGACAGGTAGAGTTATAGACAGTGAGAGAGAGAGAGAGAGAGAGAGAGAGAAAGGTCCTCTCTCTGTTGGTCCACTCCCCAAATGGCCGCTATGGCCGATGCTATGCTGATCCAAAGCCAGGAGGCAGGTGCCTCTTCCTGGTCTCCCATGAGGGTACAGGGCCCAAGCACTTGGGCCATCCTCCACTGCCTTCCCGGGCCACAGCAGAGAGCTGGACTGGAAGAGGAGCAACTGGGACTAGAACCCAGCGCCCATATGGGATAATGGCACCGCAGGTAGAGGATTAACCAAGTGAGCCATGGCACTGGCCCCCGAGAGCTGATACTTACACCAGGCAAAGTGACTGTCTCAAAGAAGTAACTTTTAGAAGTACGACAAAAATCCTCATTCCCACGTTATTCTGTATTGTATAAGCAATCTGACAGCTCAATTTTAAAGGGATAAAGATATGCATCTATCCATCCATCCAAAATTCTCTGAGCTGTGTTTGAGAATTTGCTCAGTCTTAGGTAAGTAATCAGTTACTAAGACATGGCCCTTGAAATTAAACAAAGTAGGGAAGCGTCCATTAATTATGGAATTGGGTAGAGGAGGGACAGCAAGAGCCCTGAGGAGCTGGTCCTCTGCTGTTGCAGCAGGAACAGGGAGGCCAGCTCTCTGGTGACATGGGATTTGAGAGGGCAATGCATGTCACTAAATAGCAACTATGATTAATGCCCAGAAAGTATTTCATCTGTATGTTTGTACTATGAAATGTTCTACTTCATTTTTCTAAACTATTGTAATCAAATGTAAAAAATCACTTCCTATGTATTCTTTCAGATTCCCAAAGGAAAAACATGTCAACCTACATTCCAACTCTCCAAAGCTGAAAAATTTGTTTTTTCTGGATGCTCTAGCACAAAGAGTTACAAACCTATTTTTTGTGGGATATGCGTGGATAAGAGGTGCTGTATCCCTAATAAGTCTAAAATGATTACAATTCAATTTGAGTGCCCAAATGAAGGGTCATTTAAGTGGAAGATGCTGTGGATTACATCTTGTGTGTGTCAGAGGAACTGCAGAGAACCTGGGGATGTATTTTCTGAGCTCAAGATTCTGTAGAAGTATAAAAGGAGGAAAACTTAGGCTAGTCAATCATGTCATACAGTAAAAGAATTAGAATTGTTATAAAAAGATAGCTGACCTATAGTATTGGTTTAAAACAGTAACAGTGCCCACCTATTGTCAGATCACTGTGCTTAAGGAACTAGAAGCTTTTAAGAAGGTTCTCCTAAAAATATATATAGAATTTGAAACTTAATATTTAAGCCTTATTTCTAAAATATATCCTATAATTATTTAATACAAAGACACTGGGTACCATTTAAGTACCCCTCATATAATGAAAAAAATTATATAATTTATGAGAACATTTTATAAGATAATCTAGAATACACTGTTATAAATAAAAAGCACGCTGAATTTTTAAAATTCTATCCATACTTGACAATGTAGTAAAGGCTCCCATCAGGTGACAATCATCATAGGGTAAGATGCCGGATTAATTCTTAAATAGAAATAAGATTCAACTGTAAATATTTACATTTCATTGCTCTATTCTGAATCAGTTAAGATTTTTTTTGAGAATGAGAAAATGGAACTTTTATAATTACAGTTAACAGTTGTAATCTAAAAGTTTTTATACCAAATACTGTAGAAAATTAAATTTCCAAGATAAACACAGTATCATTGCTTTGTGAAAGAAAAAACAAAACACTAACAAAAAACACAAAAATTACCTCCTTCAATGATAAATCAACCTATGGATCTGAAATATAAATTATTAAAAATAAGTTGATGACTACAACTAGAAATTATCATAACTGGAACAATGTCACTACGCTATTACAGCCATTTACTGTGAAATTTGGAAGAATACATCAAGCTTAGTACTGTTTTGTTCACTTGTATAGAGGGTGACATGCAAGACAATGAAACAAGCAGCACTGTTTAAAATATGGATATTTATTATAAACAAATTGATTAAAATATTAAAAAATTAATACAAATGCGTGTTAAATATAAATTATTCTTTTTTTGAGTGCAAGCATGTTGTTATCCAAAGAACAAAGCCTCCTTAAAAGCTGTAAGAATGCCTATCCCTGAGGTTAGTGGATACCACTTGGAAATATTTACTTGTGTCCTTCCACCAGGGGTAGGGAACCTTTTTTCTGCCAAAAGCCATTTGGATATTTATAACATCATTTGTGGGCTGCACAAAACTTAAAAATTAGCCTGCTATGGATTGACTGAACTTTGAGTCCCACCTCAGGCTGCCTTGGCAGGGCCAAGCCAAATGACTGCACGGCCTCACACGTCTCTCGCTGGACCTGCCCCACCCCTGTGTCCCAGCACTAAGTTCAAAGAACTAGGAGAATTTAAACAGAATAACAAAAAATTATACACAGAGAAATACAAATAAATACAAAGTCGTATCTTTACAAGATTTGTATTAAAGACATGATTATCAGTATATAAATGCCCAAATTTGAGCTATAAATAAGAGAATGTTGAAGAATTCTGCTCTGTTTCAGAAAGGGGGACTTTTCTGAAGACAGCTGTCTGAAGATAAGGTAACAGGACCTAATTCTACTCACTGGTATCATTAGTCTTTTAAACAAAAACACTCTGATACTATGGAAAACAAACTGGGCTTTCTGAGTCACAAAAATGCTACAATAGAAAGGCAACAGACAACAATGTGAAATTCAGAAACAGTTGTTTTTCGGGTTCCTTTTCAGACAGCTATGCTAAGTCTAGGCAAATTTTGCACAGGCATGCCTTTTGTGGCGTCCAGTCTGTCATACTCCTCTATGAGTGCTGATAAGGACGATACAGCCTCTGTGAAACAGCCTTCCTCCATCCCATCGACTTGTAGATAGTGATGAAGGTGAGCCTACAAATGAAAATGGGTATCATTTACCATTTCAGGAGCTTTAGGACACATAACTGTCTTATAAGGTAAATACATACGAGCCGAATAAAGCTTTACAGTGGAAAAGAGAACTTGTGTCAAATTGAATTTTTTGCCTAAATCCTACAAATCCATGAGATTTCTCATTTAGGGTCAAAATAACACAAGTAAACTTCTCCTCTCTAGTTATAATCAGTACAACAAATACAGTAGACAATGTCACCCTGATTTGTAATTATCTACATCTTAAATCGCCAAAATAAACACCTACCATTACAAAGGTAGATGATTACCTTTTTCTTGTAGAGCCTCGTGAACCTCTCTCTCAGTTCTAGGAAGGTAGGCTTCACACATGTGTTATTTGCTAAAGCTAATAATGAATGAGAATGGCCCACAGGAGGCACTGAACACAGGCTGGTCTTCCAACCTTCTTGATTCCAGGAGACAAACTGCAGAGAAGGCTTTAATCTGAAATACAAAAATGTAAAGGTAAGAATGAGGTAAGGTACTACCAACATTGACCTGATTATGGCAGAACACATTATAACTAAACTAGGATATTCCTGATGGTCTCATTCTAATTGCTTATTAGCAGTTATTATGGTATAAACTGATAGTGCAGAGATATTTGCTAAGAGGTCATTAAATTGGCTGAAAGCTAGAAACACATGTATTCTTACAGATTAGAAACTGAGGGGACCGGTGCTGTGGTAAAGCTGCTGCCTGCAGTGCTGGCATCCCACGTGGGCACCATTTTGAGTCCCGGCTGCTCCACTTCTGATCTAACTCTGCTATGGCCTGGGAAAGCAGTAGAAGATGGCCCAAGTCCTTGGGCCCCTGCACCCATGCGGGAGATCTGGAAGAAGCTCCTGGCTCCTGGCTTCAGATTGGCACAGCTCTGGCCATTGCGGCCAAATGGGGAGTGAACCATCAGATGGAAGACCTCTCTCTCTGCCTCTCCTTCTCTCCCCGTGTAACTCTGACTTTCAAATAAATAAATCTTTGAAAAAAAATGAGGATACAAGCTGACAGTATTATAATCGTTACTCTGTAATTCAACAGAGCATGTTTCCTAAAAATAGACTGTGGGTAAACAATACCAAGGGAAACACAGAAGCAGTGTAGCAATAGTAGTGGTTAAAAACACAGTAACAACATCAGCTACAATTTTCTGAACACTTTCAGAAAACAAAACATTCTATTTATTATTAAATAACAACTTCATAGTGTTATTTTTCTTATTTTATAACTGAAGAAAACAAGGCCCAGAAAGGCTAAGTGGCTTGCTCCAGATCACACTGTAGTAAGTGACACTGCTAGAATTGGAAGAGAAGCAGCTTTAACTACCATGCTACACTATTGCAAGCAGTATACATAAGTTGTCTTGAAAAAATACAGCAGACCTTTCAATATTTCTGCGAAGATCTGAAATCTGCACATCTCCTCTGACCATCAGTGCACAGGCGAGGTAGAGACTATGCCTAGGATTTGCCCGTATTAGTTGGTGATCTTTACTAAAGGCATCTGAAAACATCTGGTCCAATCTAGAACAATGAAAGAGTTACTATTAATAAAAATGTTACTTATTTCCTAGATACTATAAATTAAAAGGATAGTCATCCATAGGTAAATAGAATTTACACTAAATACACTAGTATTAGAATGAATATATTATATAATGTTTATAATATACAATATATAACATTTTTATTAAAAAAATAAACATACTGGGGCTGGCAATGTGGTGCAGCAGGTTAAAGCCCAGGCCTGCAGCACCGACATCCCATGTGGGCACCGGTTCGAGTCCCAGCTGCTCCACATCTGATCCAGCTCCCTGCTAATGTGCCTGGGAAGGCAATGGAGGATGGCCCAAGTCCTTGGGTCCTGCACCCACATGAGAGACTCAAAAAAAGCTCCTGGCTCCTGGTTTCAGATCGGATTCAGTTCCAGCTGTTGCGGCCATTTGGGGAGTGATTCAGTGATGGAAGACCTCTTTGTCTGTTGCTACCCCTCTCTGTAACTGTTTTTCAAGTAAATAAAATAAATCTGGAAAAAAAATACACATACTAAATAGTAACCTATCATTTTCTTGAAGCAATCTTGATAATAAATACAGGGGTAAATCATGAAATATCTGTTTTGGAAAAAAGCTACTACAGCATATTAGGGATTTCAGTGGTTACAAAATGTTGACAACAGCATTAGTAAGGTTTTATATAGTTCTGATTTCTGAAACTGGTATCTTTATTTCTTAGTTCAGTATGCTTACCTACTTCACAGAACTATCAAAACTTAATTAGGCCGGCGCCGTGGCTCAATAGGCTAATCCTCCGCCTGCGGCGCCGGCACACTGGGTTCTAGTCCCTGTCGGGGCGCTGGATTCTGTCCTGATTGCCCCTCTTCCAGGCCAGCTCTCTGCTGTGGCCCGGGAGTGCAGTGGAGGATGGCCCAGGTGCTTGGGCCCTGCACCCCATGGGAGACCAGGAGAAGCACCTGGCTCCTGCCTTTGGTGCGCCAGCCGCAGCGCGCAGGCCGCGGCGGCAATTGGAGGGTGAATCAATGGCAAAGGAAGACCTTTCTCTCTGTCTCTCTCTCTCACTGTCCACTCTGCCTATCAAAAAAAAAAAAAAAAAAAAAAAACCACTTAATTAGCAGGGCCGACGCTCTGGCAAAGTGGGTAAGGCTGCCACCTGCAGTGCCAGCATCCCATGTGGGTGCCGGTCTCAGTGTCAGCTGCTCTACTTCCAATCCAATTCTCTGCTATGGCCCGGGAAAGCAGTAGAAGATGGCCCAAGTCCTTGGGCCCCTGCACCCACGTGGGAGACCTGGAAGAAGCTCCTGGCTCCTGGCTTTGGATTGGTGCAGCTCTGGCCGTTGGGGCTAATTGGGGAGTGAACCAGCGGATGGAAGACCTCTCTTTCTCTCTGCCTCTCCTTGTCTCTGTAACTCTTTCAAATAAATAAATAAATCTTTTTAAAAAAAGCTCAATTAGTAAAACTCTGCATCATTAGGACTATTACATTATCTCCATAAAATGTGTAACAAATTGGGAATAATTAGGAGGAAACTTTTAGGCTCTCCTAATGGAAGATGAAAGTCTGTGGCAGTGTTCCTGAAAGGGGAGACTTTTAACAAAAGCTTTTAAACTGAAAGGCAAAAATCAGAAGATTATCCTTTCTCCTTCAAAGACAGGAAGATAAGGTGACTGATAAAGTTTATATCTAATAATACACAATCTCCTGGGTCCTTAGAGTGGCTCCAACTTTAGTTCTTAAATCTCACTTGACACAAAATATGATTATAGTTTCCTTAGACAATTCAAGCAAGAATTTTAGGAGCTGAGTCTGCAGAATGTCTGAGAAGAGAACAGAGATCGGTGCTATTTATTAGCAATTTATGACACTTCCGCTAAGTGATTCGGCAGGGGAGCTGCTATCCTGACTGTCCTATAGACGGAGGACAGAGGACCTCCAGAAGGAAACATGCACTCGGGAGGACTCAGGAGTCCTGCTGTTACCATTTAAAAAATTTGGGGGTTATGTGTTCCGGGTATTTTTATGGATTTAGGGTATAGACATTTCAAGATGGAAACCTAGAAAAGATTAAGAACCACTTGACAATCAGCAGGAACACTCATTATTGATTTAATCATTTTCTGGTCTCATAAAATATAAAAACTGGTAAAAGGAAACATATTATTGGAATACTTATTATTCAATATGTGCTTATTACCTACTTTCTTTTGATAAAGTGGACTTGGTATAGAACTGACGTTTATGAATATAATCTTCAACTGAAACCATTCTCATTTGTTTAGAAACTATAACAAATTAAAGCCTTAAAGCCATGCCTTTTAATATTACAATTTAAAAACAATTTATTTACTCAAGGACAAATGACTGTGTGCATCCAGATATGGCAAGCCTTTGAAATATCTATAATAGAGCACTGTTAAGACCATTTTGACAAACTCCTTAAGAGCCTTAACATTTTAAAGCTCCCAACAGATTTTTACTAATACATTCTAATTAAAAATAAAACTTCACCATAAATTAAGATGTTGATGTATACATTATTTTTATTAAAATAGACTAAGCAGGATTATATAATATTCAATTGACTTTGGCACATTCAAGTCAAAGGACCAAGTCAAAATAGTTTTTCTTATGCTGAACTTAATTAGAAATTCCATATCTTTATTTTTAAGAACTAGGTTAAAATATAAAAATGAATGACATTATCATGTCATAAATAATTTGGTGCCAATTTACATTTTATGTGTCCTCATTAAAGATATACATTCTATGTAAATACACTAAAATTTAATATGCTGGGCTGACACCACTGAACATTTAACAATCTCTGTGTTCCATACAGAGTGTATGTTGTTGGGGCCACTAGCTTGCATGCAGAAAAGGAGTCATATCTGCTAGTTGGCATAACTTGTCATTTGCCACTGGCTGAAATCAAAGTTTATCGGTCTCACTTGTGACATTCCTGAAGTATAAAACTGTTATCTTGCCAACACTTTGACTACAAAAAGCAATCTTTATGTTGCACTTCCTTATTTACATACTCTGCTCTTACAAAGTTTGGCAGAATCTTTTCCTGCAGCCAAATGTGAATGCTAGAGTGAACTTTCCAAGCTCTTCATCACTGATTATATGCTAAGAGTTTCTTTCAACATTACATCATTTAAGTAAATTGAAGTAAACTTTATGCTTCAAAATGACACCTAGACAGTTAAAAATAAGGTTTTCTGGAAATATACAATAGGGATCATATAGAGTAACTTGTAAGCCTTCTATGGTCAGGTTGTGTGTGATAAGAACTCTAAAACATTGAATGTGCCCAACAAGTATAGGAGTAGGTAGTCTTTTATTTTTACAGATGAGAAAAATGTAAATCCTGTTGCTAGTTAAGTGAAGGAATTAGGATTCAGCCTTAGCCTGTCAGACTTCAAAGTACTTAATCATTTTTTAATAAAATTACAACTGTATTAAGTTTCACAAGCCTAAAAATTTAATTCCTAGATTGAATTTCAAAAAGTTTAATAATGACATTTTTAAACAACTATTTCCTTTTTTTTTTTTTTTTTTGACGGGCAGAGTGGACAGTGAGAGAGAGAGACAGAGAGAAAGGTCTTCCTTTGCCGTTGGTTCACCCTCCAATGGCCGCTGCGGCCGGTGCGCTGCGGCTGGCACACCGCGCTGATCCGATGGCAGGAGCCAGGAGCCAGGTGCTTTTCCTGGTCTCCCATGGGGTGCAGGGCCCAAGCACCTGGGCCATCCTCCACTGCACTCCCTGGCCACAGCAGAGGGCTGGCCTGGAAGAGGGGCAACCGGGACAGAATCCGGCGCCCCGACCGGGACTAGAACCCGGTGTGCCGGCGCCGCTAGGCGGAGGATTAGCCTAGTGAGCCGCGGCGCCGGCCTTAAACAACTATTTCCAGGAAGCCTTCACCTCATTGAAAGGAACTGTAGTTTACTGACTTCTCACAAGTAAAACAAATAACTAGAGTCATTGTAAGCTTTCTCTCTTAATTTTTTTAGAATAATTCAAGTTCTCAAGAAATTGGAATTAAGTTATATCTTACCTTCGAGGGGGAATGTTAACATCTGCCAGTGTATACAGAGGCGTTAGGCTTGATACAAGATAATGAAGTTGAGGAAAAGGAACTAAGTTCATACTGATTTCATTAAGGTCCATATTAAGGGATCCTTCAAACCGTGCAGAGCTAAACATTACAATAATGAGAAAAATTTTAATCTTGAAATTACACACTTTGAATGCAGCTTAATTTTTTTCAGTAAGTATTTTCTCAAATTTTTTTGTACACTGTTCTTCAGTGCAGAATATATGCTTGCTCTTCTGCATTAGTGAAATTTAGTATAATAAACAATCATGCATAAAGATAATTAAAATACAACACAACATTTATAGCAACTAGTTCTGGTTATTTTAAGTATAACTAAACACTATTATGGTTGCTCATTACACACTTGCACATTATTCCACTTTTCTGATCCAGCTCCCTGCTAATGGCTTGGGAAAGCAGCAGGAGATGGTCCATGCACTTGGGGCCCTGCCACCCACGTGGGAGACCTGGAAGAAGCTCTTGGCTCCTGGCTGTGGCCTGGCCCAGCCCTGGCCATTGCAGAATGAACACATGGATGGAAGATCTCTCTCTCTCTCTATCTCCCTTTCTCCGTGTAACTCTAACTTTCAAACACATAAATAATAAATCTTAAAAAAAAAAAACTGAATAAAGATTTTCTATTGATTTAAACACATATAAATGAGTAACTTTACTTATTCTAGGAGCTTTGCTGAATTTCTCAAGGATATCCTTAATACACTTTGAAATAGTCATGGATATATTTCAAAACAGCTAATGAGGAGATACAGTTTAGCTGGCTTAAAAGATGAAGAAAAAACATTTGTTTCATTTTCTGTAATCAAGTGTTTCTTAAGTGTGACTTTCTCAAGACTTGTTATCATTTAACACCCATTAATACTCCACAGAATGTACTTAGGGAAATGCTGCTTTGGAGTCATAGAAATCCAAATTCTAATTGATTACTACAAGAGGTAAAAATATAAGACAAACTAGAATACAAACAAAAGAAGCTCCCGCAACTTCCACCAACAAAAATGCTACTACAAAAATTCAAGTCATCAACAGAGTGAAGGTTTTCAAGTGTCCTGAGACAGGATTACCTTGTCAGGCTAAGCAGCACATTTGCCACAATGTTGTTCATTGCGTCAAAGGGCTTCTTGTGCCGTTTCCTTAAAGCCTCCGCACTTGCAGTAACCAGACTCCTTGGCTTCACAGCTGCACCCAACTTTCCAGAATTCACCATGAGGTCAATTTTGCTAATGATGTCAAATAAGGACTTTTGAAGGAAAAATATTGGGAGAGAAGCTATTAAGAAGAGTTGACACAGATGATATTCCATTTGGAGAGAAAGAGAAAATGATTTAAAAATTACTTTCTCTCTTAGGTGACAAGGCTGAAAAGTGAAGAGAACGTTTCATGTTGGATAAATACATAAACCTAACGCAGGATTGAATGTATGTAAAATTTGGCCATGAGATCCCATGTCATCTCGTACCTGATTGTCAATGGGCAACACACAATCTGCATGCTCGCTGAGCTCCTTCATTGCCAAGATGCTATTATAAGGTGAGGTTATGACATCATCCTCACTAGAAGGATAAACTGAAGTCACAAATCTGTATACTTCTGGGAACTCGTCTTCAAGCACCTTCAGAAGAAATGTGCCAAGTCCGGATCCTGTCCCTAAGGATTACAATTTATAAAAAACAAAAACAAAAAACTGTGAGGAACTTAGAATTTTATGTTTTGCATGTAGAACAGAACAATTTTCACCTTATTCTTATGATTATATATTAATTAATCTAACTTCAAATAAAGAAAGGAAGGCAACATTAGGCTTAAGGTCTTGAATTTCATAACTGGTTCTATGAGTTTAGGAAGGCTTTCTGTATTTCACTCTTTTTCTTTTTTTAAATATTTATTTTTTATTTATTTGAAAGAGAGAGGGAGGGAGGGAGGGAGAGAGAGAGAAATTTCTTCCATCTGCTGGTTCACTTCCCAAAAGGCTGCAATGGCTGGGGCTGGGGCAGGCCAAAGCTAGGAGCCCGGAGCTTCTTTCGGGTCTCCCATGTCGGTGTAGGGGCCCAAGCACTTGGGCCATCCTCCATTACTTTTCTAGGTGCATGAACAGGGAGCTAGATCAGAAGTGAAGCAGCTGGGTCTCAAACTGGCGACCATATGGGATGCTGCTGTTGCAGGTAGAGGCTTAACCTGCTAAGCCACAATACCAGCCCCAAGTCCTTTTTCACATTTAAGCTATCCCTACATGATGTCAAAATAATTGGTTGAATGGTGAAAAATCCAGCTAAGACAATATTCAGTTTATAATTGATCTTAAGCAACTTTAAAAAAACTATCCTGACAGATTTGGTGTAGTGTATATACCGTCTTAATGATGAAGAAAATTACCTTGTCATTAAGTAACTTAAATGATGAGTCAAAAATCTTAACATTAAGCATGCCAACTCTACATATTTAAAAAGTCACTACATATTTAAAAACAGAAAATCTAGGAATCTCATTAAAATTATTTTTTAGACATTTGAGAGAGTGCTCCCATCTGCTGGAACACTTTGCAAATGCCCACAGCTGCAGGGGCTGGGCTGAGACTGAAGCTGGGAGACAGGAACTCAATCCAGATCTCCCACACGGACGGCTGGAGCCTAATCACTAGAGTCGTCACTACTCCCTCCCAAGGTGTGCACTAGCCAGAAGCTGGAGTCAGGACTGAAGCCAAGTACTGAATTTAGGCATACAGTTAAGGCACACGGGTATCCTAACTGGTGTCCTAACTTCTAGGGCCAAATGCCTGCCACAACAATAACTTTTTGGTGCACATTCATATCATCTATATAGATTTAAAACTTTTTAAAAACTTAGAAAGCTAGAATCCTTGAACTTGGTGTTTTCAAACTGGTTGTGAACTACGAGTAGGCTACAGAATTAATTATTAAATTACTAGCAGTATTTGCTTTCCTTCTATGAAACAGTAGAAAATATCAACATGTCTCATGTAGTATGGGTAAATGTTTTCCAAATCTTTATGTGTGTGTGTGTGTGTGTGTGTATGCATGCAGATGTACTGGGCTGTAACATAAAATATATTTCTCACTATTCTGGTTTAAAAATGGCTTAAAAACCAACATTTTAATCCATGTAAACATTAAAAGGATATATTGCTAAAAATATTAGATGAAAGTGGGAGGTTTTTTGGGTAATCTTTAATGGGAAGAACTTTCTAAGCATTATAAAAAATCAGGGTCTTTATAAAAAGATTTGATTTCATGAAAAATAAGCAAAATTTATATATCTCTATAAAATATATATAGATAAAAAACCTCATAAAGACAAAGAAAAAAATCAACACATATGATGGAGTAAATTTCTGTATTAAAGGGTTGTCACTCTTAAAAGGGCTTATAAAAATGGTAATAATGAGACAATTTCACAAAATTTTAAGGTAAAAAGCTATTATGTACATGCATTGTAATATACCTACATCAAAAAATGGGGAAAGGATATAAGCAGGAAACTTACAATAAAAAAAGGAGAAATGGGAAACAGAAGTAAAGGTGCTGACCCTCTCTTTTAATTAAGGAAATAAAAATTAAAACTAAATATAATTTTGAACATATTAGACTCACATTTCATAATAGTATTGTTGATAGCAGAGGGAAATGGAAACCACTTCCATACTGTTGTTACTATGAATTGGTGCAATACTATAGGAAGGTATATTAATATTATACATATTAATATATTATATATGAATATTAATAAAATATCCACCAAAATGGAAAGTGTACTTTTTCTGGTTTCTATTCTTCCCTTCCAGGATTACTGCTTATAGTTACAGTGACACAAATGCACAAAAACACATGAGACTACTTCAAGAATTCATGGAAAACTAGACATAAATGTTCATCTTGGTGTAAAAAATCCACACATAATCTTTTAATCATATGCATTTTCCAAAAACTTTGTGAAGGCCTCCTTAATACCAGATGTTCACTGGGGATGGTGTACAACAAGCAGACACCATAAATAATTTACCATCCATTAATAAGGAAGGAACTTAAGAAATTATTACATATTAAAATTTTTATTACTTATTAAATATTATATCAAATTGAATTATGTGGGATACAGTTGATATGGGAAGGTGCTCAAGAAAGATATAAAGTGGAAAAATTACAGAATAATATGTACTGTATGATCTTTTATATAAAAATATATAAACACATTATAATAGGCATATAAGGTATCTGAAAAGACGGGCACAAAAATCCCTTTGAACTTGGTTACTTGTGAGGAGAGGGAACAGAGATTAGATATGGGAAATAGAAGTTTACTTTTAACCTTCAGTACTATTTAAATTATTGCCATATTCAGTGAATTATGAATGAAAATATTTTCTTTTGAAGTGTTGGATAATGGAGGAATTAAGAAAGGCACCATAATAAGTGTAAGTCAAAGCATTTTCTTTTTGAAAACTAGCTTAAACTTGTAGATTATTTATACTAGCACAAAGACAATTTGTTTCTTAATTTAATGATTATGATGGTCTTCCCAAGGCATGGTTACACAGCAACTAAAGCTCTAATTTTAAAATACTATGATGGTGAATAGATCTATTAATTACAACGATAGTGAATAATATATGCATAAAATTCAACTGTATATAACTTAGTGAATACAGAATCATAATCTGAGTTTAAAGAAGAAAACTGCAGGAATTTTTTCTTTTAAAATGTGCTAATCCTATTTTAAAATTAGTAAATTATATTGTTTGTACTTCATGCAACAAACGAGTTAAATATTTCAATCCCAAAGTGCAGGCTTCCCTAGGAAAAGTAAATAATGCAAGACATTTATTTCTAGTTTAAGTCAATTATCATGTTAGAAATAACTTAAAGAAACTGAAAGAATTTCTTCTACTCTTCTGTTTCCTTATTGGAGATGAGAAAGGACTGATGGTTAAAGAAAGGCTTCTGAGATTCTTTGGCAAGCACACATGTGATCATGCCAGGAATGCTTTCCTCTAGTTAGGATGAGGGACCACACAAGCCAACTCTGTGGAGAAAGTAAGCATTACTCAAAAGCTCATGTATGCCAAAATGCGGCTGAAAATTTTGTAAAGAAACCAAAGGTAGAAAAAAAAAATCCCAACATATTTTTTTGGACTCTTAAACAGGCTTAAATAAAAAATTTTAAAAAAGGTATGTGACCCTGTATCACAAAACTTTAAGATACAGCTGTTCTGTACATTATTTCAAATGCACATACACTGAACAATTCTATCTTTATCAAGCATAGGTCTGAAAGTAAGACTTATGTTTGCCAAAAGGAATTCCCACTTGCACTCTGGCGTTGTTATAGGCAATGAATGAGGAACTTTACCTCCGCCCATGGAATGTATTATAAAGAAGCACTGTAAGCAATCACAGTGCTCTGCCGACTTTCTGAGTTTCTCTAAAATCTGTTCTTGGTAAGCACTGCCAAAAACTTTGTGACCCACAGCCCTGAAAATAAAATACAGATTAGAAAAATTCTTGCACTTGTTTTTGATTTAACTGAAAAAATTACAGAACAATTTAGTTAAATCTATGCTTGCTTCATGTAAACAAATCATAATATTCTAAAAATACTATAGAAAATTATACACACACACAAACATACACACAATGGTACTTCAAAAAGCTCATAGCAAAATGATGTAAAAATTTTTTGAAATATATGATATTTTCCATGATTAGCATTTTCCAAGAATTTCCTGAAGACCCTTCATATTTATAAAACCTTCAGTTGTCCTGATAACTCATTAACAATGGGTATTACCCTACTTTTTTTCTTTTTTTTTAGATTTAATTGAAAGCCAGAGTTACAGAGAGGAAGGGAGAGATAGAGATCTTCCATCCAATGGTTCACTCCCCAAATGACCACAATGGCATGGGTTGGGCCAGGCTGAAGCCAGGAGCCAGGAGCTTCTTTAGGGTCTCCAACGTGGGTGCAGGGGCCCAAGGATTGGGCCATCTTCCACTGTTTCCCAGGTGCATAAGCAGGGAGCTGGATTCAAAGTAGAGAGGCTGGTTCTTGAAAATTGGCACCCATATGGGATGTTGGCATCACAGGCGGCTGCTTTACCCACTATGCCAGCCCCTGAAACTATGTTTTTCTAAATTCATTTTTGCAATCTCTCAAAGGTGCAATTACAAAACAAGTTTTCAGTTACGCAGTTTTTTCTCATATCCATTTAAAGTTAACTCTGAACTAGAGTGGATTTTATGTATTAAAGAGCAGAATGTGGGGCAGGCATTTGGCCTGGTGGTTCAGCTGTTTCGGATGCCCACATGCCATTCCGAGTCCCAGCTCCAACCCAGCTCTGCTACTGACCGATTCTAGCCTCCAGTTAATCTGCACCTGTGGGAGCAGGTGATGGCTCAAGTAGTTCAGTCCCTGCGATCAACATGGGACACCTCAAGTGGGTTCCCATTTCCCAGTTTCAGCTTGGCCCAGCTCTGGCCATTGTGGGCATTTAGGGAGAGAACCAGTTCTTTGTCTCCGCCTCTCAAAAAGAAAAATAAAAAGCAGAATACTGTCAACTAGAAAGGCATTGAAATGGAAAAAAAAGAAACTAACATCTAATATTGTTTAAACTAAAAGAAAAGGGGTGGGGGAGGGCGCTGTGGTGCAGTGGATTAATGCCCTGGCCTGACGCACTGGCATCCCATATGGGTGCCGGTTCTAGTCCCGGCTGCTCCTCTTCCAATCCAGCTCTCTGCTATGGCCTGGGATAGCAGCAGCAGATGGCCCAAGTCCATGGGCCCCTGCACCCACATGGGAGACCGGGAAGAAGCTCCTGGCTCCTGGCTTCAGATCGGTGCAGCTCCGGCCGTTGCGGCCATCTGGGGAGTGAACCAGTGGATGGAAGACCTCTCTCTCTGTCTCTACCTCTCTCTGTAACTCTTTCAAATAAATAAAAAAGAAAAGGGGTGGGCATTCAGCCTAGTGGTTAAGATGCTGTTAGGACAAATCATGTCCTATATTGGAGTCTCTGGGTTCCATATACACTCTAATGCAGATCCCAGGAGGCAGTCATGAGAGCTCAAGTAACTAGGTTCCTACTACCCATGCAAGAGACCTGGACTGAGTTCCTCACTTCTGGCATTGACCCTAGCTGAGCCCTGGCTGTTGCAAGCATTTGCGGAAGTGAACTAGTAGATGAGAGCTGTCTCTCAAATAAGTAAACAAAAACTTAAAAACAAAATAAGGAAAAAAAAATGGTCGCAACATTATGAGATTGAAATGGCACGTGGTAGAAAACTGATATCCTTAGGCTCTGCAAGTCTTTTTTGGCTGTCTAAATTTGCAAGAATTATTATGATAAGTTAACAAATAAGAATGATTTTCCTATAACACTGTAGTCAGGCTTAACTCAAAAGTCATATAATAAGCTATCTAACAAATGCCAGAAAAGCAGCTGAGTAGTAAGGTGGCTAGGCTTACCTATTAACTCATTTAGTGTTCTCTCCAAATTAGTCTCCTTGAACACAAGATTAAAATTCATGCTCTAGTAAAATCATACATCACTTCTCATTAGGAACCTGAGGTATTGGCTGCAAATACTTAAAATAAATAAAGATACTTGCAAATAAGGGAATACTTAATTTTTACAAAACAGGAAAAAACAGTGCCAATATGAAACAGTTTATAATTATAATTATATAATATTATATACAATATATCTATATATTATAGTATTAATATTACTTTATAATTATAATTATGTAATGTAATTATATATAATACATATATAACATAATATAAAATCATATTATATATTCCATAATATATGATACATAATATAACCATATTGTATAATATACATCATATAGCATATATCATATAATGCATACAATATACCATATATATTATCATTATATAATTGTATATATCATATATAATACATAATACATAATTATATTATATATCATAACTATAAATATATAATAATCATATACATTATATAATGCAATTATATAATTGTTATAATCATTACATTATATATCATACACTATAATTATGCATTACATATAATATATAATTATATATAGTATGTATTATAATGCATAATTATATATAGTATATTATATATTATATACTATATATAATTATATATATAATATATATTATATATAAATTATATAATATATAGTCATATTTAGTATATTATATATTATATACTATATATAAGGAAAAAAATGGTCGCAACATTATGAGATTGAAATAGCACGTGGTAGAAAATTGATATCCTTATATTATATATAATTATATATAGTTATATATATAACTATATATATAGTTATATAGTTATATATATATAATTATATATAGTATAATTATAAACTGTTTCATATAATTATAATATATAATATTATATGTAGTATATTATACTATATATAGTATATTTTATATATATATATATATATATATATATATATATATATATATATAAAGAGTCCCAGGTGCATAAGCAGGGAGCTGAATTCAAAGTAGAGGGTTGGTGTATATATATATATTTATATATATATATTATATTATATATAATTATATATAGTATATAATTATAAACTGTTTCATATAATTATAATTTGAACTGTTCATAAATGTACTTAAAACTTGTGTGATGCAAGAGTCAATTTACAAATAGGAGCTTAGCAAATAAACTTTCCGTGATTCATCTTTTTCTTAAAAAATATTGGAAGGAAACAGGAGTATGAGCAAATACAAGAACAGGTGGCTTCCAAGCACTGTGAAACACCACATATTAAGGAATAGATGATGGGCTGAAAGGCCCAGCTTCTGGTGTGCAATCACATCTTGCTTTGAGGTCAGCAGGACCTATCAGAATGAAGGAGCTGGCTCACTGTTTCAGATGACATTTAACTCTCATGTTGAGCATATCCTCACCAGTTATTTCCTGAGCCAGATACATTAGTAATGAGCTGCTTGCTATCAAACACATCTCTCAAGGGTCCCTGCAGAATTTCATTCACTACTCCTTCTTCCATGTCTATCAAAACAGCCTGAGAAAGAAAAATAAAATTTAGTTATCATATTTTCCTTTAGAGTTATTCACTCTGCAAATGAATTTGAGTCAAAAGTTGCATTGTTCTCTTATATTTAAGCCTAAAATCTTTATGTAGAATCTGTTGAGATAATTAAAAAACAATTTCATCCAGCTAGAAAGGCAGAACCCAATTAAACCACCTTTCATCTGACTATAAAATGCCAATTAAGGAAAAAAAGAAACTGACAAATCTCCCCAGCTGAATTTCTAAGGTCTCAGAAATCTAGACAGTAAGCTTAACCTGAAAAAGTTCTCAATAAATGAAGGGTGAACTCGTGCACATGCTTACCAGGAACAACTACGTGGCTCTTTATTAATCCCACCCCCAATCTGTCCAATTCAAATGATTAACTTTTTACTCTGGGCAAAGTCAAGGCACTGGAGAGATGTCAGAGATGTCAACAGGGTCCTCTCTCCCAAGTAACCTACGATCTAATTCATTATATAAACTGATATGGGAATTAACCTATATTACTAAGAAAATGAGAATATAAAACATAAAATTAAGTATGGAAAAACCAGAAAAATATACTGGCAGGAAATATACCAAAATGTAAGCAGGCGACACTTAGTAGTAGGAACATTTCCTCCTTCCTCTTCTTCACACTTTACTCTCCATATACTCTATAGCGAGGAAGAAGAGGGCAAAATAGTAAAAAATAAACAGATAAATAAATTCTGTAACTGCCTTAGGGTACTGTTTGTTAATTCTCTGACTCAGAATCACAGAGGAAGTGCTTTATGTTTTGTTTGTTTAACGCACTTGATCTTCACAGCCTCTGCACAGGTCTCATTGTCCATTTCACATGTGAGGAAAGTAAGGTCTAGAAAAGTTGAATGACTTGGCTGTGGTCACCCAGCTAGTTAAGTGGCAGAGATTCAAACTCAGCTAGCCTGGCTGCACAAAGTCTATGCTGTATGAAGGGAGACCTGACTACAATGTAGTTACAACTTTCGGACATTCAAATTCTGTGAATTCAATTATTTGTGTAACTATGCTACTTATTATAACATAAACTGAATATATTAAAGCAATATATCACAATGACTGTAAAAATGTTTTACAAAGGTGCTCATTTATATACTGCAATCATTATATTTACATATATTTTATGTTAACAGAACTGAAACTTTAGGGATTTTTCAATGATTTTTTGACAATATGCAATTTTTACCTTAAATGCTGACTTTAACATCTAACCAGCCACAAGGTGGACTTTGCTGTAAAGGAAAAATCACAATACTTCCAAGTTGTGTAAGATTATAAAACAACAAAATCAGCTTATATTGGCCTTCTTCCAAAACAAATTTATTGAGTCAATTTGTGGATAGTTAACAGTATCTTAATTACCTTGTTGTTCGGGGAAAAGGAAGCAATATGCAAAATAGACTGACATTCAGGCGCTTTTTGAAGAGAGTTTTTGATAGAATCCTCACTGTCCTACTCACTTAGCACTAAAGCTCTGACCTTAGTCACATCAGGCACTTGATTTGGTTTTCTTTGGAAAATTAAATTATCAGAGTGTATTCTTCAACATCCAAGGTCTGGAGTCACAACTGTTCCAGAATCTGGTGTTTATAACTCCTTCCAGAAGGCTTCTGGCTTCCCCCTAATACGGGACTTAGCAAAATTTTGAATATTTGCCTATTAACTTAAGATACTGGATACTGCGGAGGGAGCCAAGCTCCAAGCTATCTTGTAAAGTCTGGACTCTTTAATGACCATATAGAACATAACACCAAGAGTTCTTATGGAGAAAATGGAAGGATGCCTCCTCAGGCAAAAAAATCAAAGTCTACAGAAACACATGATGATGTATTCTTTTCTAATAATGTTCCTCTACTTCCTTACCTGCTCACTGATAGGCTGTTGGGAAACAGCTCAAATTGGGAGTAGTCTAGAAAATGTCTCTCTGTAAGGTTTGGAATGCAATGCTAGCTCTCTCTGCATCATGGAGTATGCTAAGTGCTAATCAGTTATTATCCTAATGCCCCAAAGCATATGGTCTCTGCCATAAATTTTCTAAGGACATCAAAGATAACAGGTACAACATGGTTCCCAGGTGTCACAACACGACTGCCTTCTAGTATTTCAGTCATTACTCCAGGTCTGATCCTTAGCATCTCAGTTCCTTCCATAGCATTGATAGGGCCTTTCTTGTTATAGTCAAAGGTCAACAGTAACAAAAAGGTTAACAGATCAACAATTACAAAAAACAGTTCACTGTAGACAATTACAGAGGAGAAATGTTGGGATGAGATTAAGACTGTAAGTATGGGCTTCTGACTCGGAGCATTCTCGTTCAGATGGCTCTGGCATTATTCACTATAATGTGGCTGGATTCATGATGTGTATTGATTAGCAATCTGATGTAAATAAATCTTGCATTATTTTTCAATGAAAAATTAGCCTTAGTACAAGGGTCCTTCAAGAAGTTCAAAGAAAATTGGAATTAAAGATAAGCTTATTTTGGTGCAAAACATTTTTGAAAATCCAAGGACAGTTTTTTCATAATATGCATTTTCCCATTAACTTTTTGAAGACTGCTTGTATGTATTTCAGGTACTTAGAGTTAAGAGGGCTCCTTACCATTTACCTAGACACTAATTTCCCTTGAAACATTTAGGGAAAAAAGGCTCGTAGTGTTTCAGGTGAATCCAAATGTATGCTTAGTTATTTTATGTTAAATGTGGCTTAAATCGTTTTTTGAAAAGTTAAAATTTTTATTGAGTTATAGAAATACAAGTACAGTTATTTTTAAAACTCATGCAATATAAGAATCCAAGTGTATATATCTTACTCGTGCTTTTAAAGAACTTATTTTTCCCTTGGAAATACTGCCACCATCTCCAACCACTCTGAAAGATAAAAAAAAAAAAAGAGAGAGAGAGAAAGAAAAAGTCATAAGATCTTTCATGGCCAATAGTGCTATCAGGCAATAAAGTTAACTTCCATTGTATGACAAGGCCAGGTGAGGCAGAGTCATGCTATTCCTAACCTCCTCTTCCCTTGCCTATCTCCTACCAGGCTGAGAAAGTGAGGGAATTACCTCCCTTTCTTTGTAATTAGGGCTGACCATGTAATGCAGTTCTAGCCAAGGAGATAAAGGGGAGGTATTCTGAAAATCTTTTATGATAAAAAGGACCACATGCTGTTGATTTCAATCTTTCTTTTTCCTGCCTCAAACATAAACATGGATGTGATTCCTGCAGTACAGGTGCCAGTTTCTAGTAACAGAGTAATAAACATGAGAAAAAAATAGTCAGTACATGAAGGATAGGGGGACAAGATATAATGTCTTGGACACATTTCTCCAAACTTATAACATCTGATTTCCAGATTTTTTGATCTGTGAGGTAGATGGGCACTTTCATTGATTAGCTAACATTTATGAGATTTCCTGTTGCAGCCAAAAATATGTGTAACTGGTATACCAGTTAAACATCATTGAGTATCTATCTGAAGCTGTTCCTAGAATTTCATGTTGAAAGAAAGTTATCAAATTAATGAAATTTGTGATCAGACATGGTATATGGGTCAATAAAGATAGTTCCCAAGAAGGTAAAACATATGGAAGGAATAGGAGATGACACGATGTTATAGGCTGGGGCTGACAACCTCACTCAGGCCAAAGTTACTGATTTTCCTAAATAAAGTTAACCATGTCTATCTGTATATTCATGCTACAAGGGTACACCTTATGGGTAACAAAATCTAAATTATATACTATCTGGTCTTTTACAGAAAAGATTTGTCAATCCCTGCTGTATAAGTACATTATTATTATACTTAAAAGGTATGACACTTTGCTAAAGAAGTATTAGATAGTTTCAGTTTTGAAAAATATTTTTCACATTTACTTATGGAAAAGATGGCATACGTGTTGACAGTCCACAGAAAGAAGAGGAAGACGCCACTCTCCCTCTTCCCTCCTTCCTGAATGTTGCATCAGGAAAAGAAGAATGCTCTCAGGTTAAAGTATAAAATGTACAGAGCAGATGACAGTCCAGTTGTGTCAAGTCTCCTTACTAAGAAAGAAGAGATCTCAGGCTGAGTCTTACCTTACTCAGAGAAAGGGTGGGGGTAGGAACTGAGATAGCAAGGGAGGCACCTGAAAGGAAGGCTTACCCTAGAACTTTGAGAATCTCAATGGTATTTAGAGGGGACAGGACCAAGGCCACAGATTAGAGGGAGTCTGCCAGGAATTTAGGTAACTAACTCTTGATTTCCTTGGTCTGGGTGCACGGTCACCAAGCAACCTTGTGCTTATTATGCAGCTTTTCAGGTAGATTTGCTGCAAAAGAGAATGCTCCTAAGATGGTACATTGACTATCTGGTCTTTTTTAAGCTATGGTTTCTACTGTCAGTTGTTATACTGACTTTCTGCTTTTTTAATCTCCCATTTGAGTTTGGTTAATCTGACTGTATTGGACAGTACTGGATCCATTCTTAAAAGTTCCAACAAGGTTTATGAATTTGCAAGCTTTAGCACTAAACTATGGAATCCATCAAGAAGCGAGGATTAACTTGCCTTCCTTCGAAAATAACTGCCTCAAATACCCAGCCATCTAATCCAAACTGGAAATGGATATTAAAGCCTGATATAAAGTATATATATATATATATATATATATATATAATTATATATATTTAGTTCAAGCCCATCAGATAGTTTATGAAGCATTTTGAAAATACATGAATTTAAAGAATTAACATTAAAGTTTGCAGATATACCCTAAATGTCAATTTGCTTTCAGATAAGAGAAACATGATACTTACATACACCCTTTATTAAATAAAAGTAATCTGACAACTGTTTCTCTTTTTTTTTTTAGCATATTTTATAATTATATCACAAATAGTATCAGGAAATACAAACACCCTCAGGGAAAATTTCATTTTTTTCTCTAGTGAAAGCTTATTTCAACCTTAAGTTCAAAGAAGTCCCATTATAGGTTCTTTTTGTACCTTAAAATAGACTGAAAGGGAAACCTGTTATACTCCTCTTAGAATAATGTTGAAAATATTCATGACAAAATGAGAATAAGGATGTTTCAATAAGAAAACCAAAAAGAAACAGAATAGAACTTTATAGCTATCAACTTTTTATTGTCCTTTGATGAATTCCTCCCCTTGAAATGATGGGATCATCATGACAGGTTTTAATTCCATCTTACCTGGCGTCCACGTTTCTAAAGAAGCTGCTTAGTGCCTCATCATAAATTCCTTTCTGAAAAGGAGAAAGAATCTATTTAGAGCATTCAAGTTTTGCTTCTTTCTGAAAGTCCTGTCAATTTTAGTGAGCCCACAATCCTGTGACAGCTACTGCGTGGCTAGGACAACAGAGTTTGTATTACAGAACACTTGGGCCGAGTCCTCCCTCAGGGGAACGTCGATGGCAAGGAGAGCCCCAGACCCAGTTCAGCAGGGGTGCGGAATAAAGGATCCCCTAAGACTGTCAGAACAGGGGCAGCAAATGCGTTCGTATTCCTGGCGATCACTCTAACGGCGGGCACCTTCCATTAAGGACTATAACGACCGCAGGTGTTACCTAATTTCCAAGGTGCTTGCACATGCACGCATTCTTGTTACCACGGCTCTACCCAAGAGCACTAACAGAGAGACCCTGAGAATCCGAACCACGGTTAAGACCAGAGTCTCTAACGCAGGTCCCACGCCAGCAACATCACACCAAGGCTCAGATACAGTAATTTCCTGTTTGTTTATGGGAAACGCACGGCGACGCGCGAGGGGGGCTCCCGGAGCGGGGCCGCTACCTGGTTGACCGCTGCGTGCTCCCTCAACGCCAGGTCCCAGAAGCAGCAGCCGATCTGGTTTCCGCACTGGCCGACTGCCACCAGGGGAGGGGAAGAAACAGAACGGACAGTAAGCAAGAAGCAAGGCCAACAGGCTCCGCGGCCCAGCAACCCGGCGCGGCTCACCCTGTATGACTACCGACTGGGTCATTCTGCCCGGCGCCCGGCCCCCGGCCCCGGCCCCGGCCCCGGCCCCGGCCCCGGCCCCGGCCCCGGCCCCGGGTAGCTGCGAGCCAGCGCCGGCCTTCGCATTCGCCCGCCCACCGGCGGTGCAGCGCCAGGTGACGACCGTAAGTCACGCTGCTGCCGCAAGTCGCTGCCGTCGCTAAGTACTCCTCCAGGTTCTGGCTAAGGTTTTTCGTCAGAAGGCCGCGCAAGTGCAGTGGCGGCTCACCGTTGCCACAGCGACCGGCCTTCCGGACCGCAGATATTAGCTGCCGGGTCAACATCTTTGAGCGTCGGCAGCTTCCGAGGCCAGGTTAACAGGCGGGTAACTAGGTTTTGGAGCGGAATGTAAAAACAGGCGTCTTTAAATTGTTCTTGCATTTCCAGTGTTTAATTCAGGGTCTCGACAGCCTGGGCTATGGGTCAAATTCTGTTTAAACTCTTGCCATCAAGCCCTTGGTGCTAGTAGGAAACGAACAACGTCCCAAAGAAATCCCAAATAGACATGTCAGGACACAGCCAACAGTAGATGGCTATACACTTCGACAAAAATGGCAAAGTGTTGTTGAACGTGGAAAACTCCCAACAATAACCTCTAGGCCCTCTGTAGGATTCAAAAGAAATTGATGGATCCCGCTCCCAGAAGTTTACATGCTAATTGAATGCAGGCACGCACGCACGCACAGAACACTGTGAGTTTGTCGTGTGGCACTGACTAAGTGAAACAGGATTTGGTGGATGAGGGTGTAGATGAGTAGTAGAAGTCTGGTGGAAGAGATGAGATTAAACCTGGCATTTAATGTAGGCGCAATAGTTAGATAGAAGATAGAAAAATCAAGTGCTAGTGAAAATTACCAGCTCCTTAAGATTGTCAAACGTTAGAAAACCCTGTAAACTTTGATTCAACAAATTAGATCAGAGTGCAGTTAAGGATGGATGCACTTCTTTAATGAAATTAGTATTTTTGACAAAAATAAGAACTACAAAATTCTGAAGTCTTCTTTATTTAATAAGGTAAATTATATCTTATGTAGTAATATGAATCATGATACTTGTTGGATTAGAACACTTTATTACTTCACCAAGACAAGTAATAGCTGTTAGATTTCTATGATAGCAGCTAAATTTGAAATTGCAATGGGCTATGTTGCTCAGGCTGTCCCAAACTCCTATTTGAATGTTTTTTTTAAATTTTTATTTATTTATTTGAAAGTCATAATTACACAGAGAGAGGAGAGGCAGAAAGAGAGAGAGAGAGGTAAAGGTCTTCCATCCGCACATTAGACATTGGAAAAGAAATGAGTAGTGAACTTAAAGACAACAATAAAAACTAACCAAAACAAAAGGATAAAGGTATTTTTAAAAAAGAGAAGCTCAGTGAGCTGTGGTACAACTTCCAGCATCTCTATATATAGGTAACTGGAGTTTCAAAAGGAAACATCCAATTGGCTGCAACAGCGGGAGCTGCATCAATCTGAAGCCACGAGCCAGGAGCTTCTTCTGGATCTCCCATGTGGGTGAAGGGACCCAAGGACTTGGGCCATTTTTTACTGCTTTCCCAGGCCATAGCAGAGAGCTGGATTGGAAGAGGAGCAGCCGGGTCTCCAACCAGCACCAAGTCGAGCAGAACAAGTGAGACTCAAACTGGTGCTCATATGGGATGCTGGTGTTGCAGGCAGTGGCTTAACCAGCTGCGCCACATCACTGACCCCTAATAGGCAGCTTTTAATAAATAAAATATTTGCAATTTCTGGATTTACTCTTACCTGTTTATTGGTGAGAACAGAGTCCCTGGTAGACATGCAGCCATGCACTTCAGGTCTTGATGTTGAAATGTCTCCAAGTCTGAAGTTTCCAAAATTTTGCAAAGCTTGGTACAGTTTGTAAGCAGAGATAGGAGTGCATCTATAGTAATTGGACTATAGTGACAATTAGTCCAATAGTCTGACCTCTGTACAGCTCTACCCCTCATGCAGTCCTAGTCATTATTCCCAAAGTCATTCTTGGAGAAGAAGTTAAATTAAGGAAGCCCTAGCAAGTCTCATTAGAACTTCACTCTAAAGAGAATCAGACTGAAAGTTGATTGTCTGATTAAGAGTGAAGCAAGGTAGAAGTTTACATACTAGCCACTTGAGGGCCTCAGTATGTACAAACCCAGGTTAGCCAAGTAACGATCAGCTAAATATTGTTCTATGTACAGTCTTATGAGGAAGAAAAATGTTTTTGGTTGAAGACACTGTGATTTTTGAGGGTGGAGTAGAGTGGTAGCTGACTAACAAAGAAAGCAAATGGATAGGACAGAATTTCACGTGTAAATATGAACAAGAGGAAAATCATTGAGAAAAATTAAAAATGGGAGTCTGATGGAGAAAAAATAATTAGGCTGCTTAGAATCATTTATAGCAATTAAATACTGTAGAATATTTTTAAAGTGCTACAAACTTTTGAGGGGAAATAATATATATCCCAAGAAAGTTATACTTGTAGCTTTCCAACTTGTCATTTAAGTGTAATTCAAATGTGTGGGCATTCTACCCCTTTTTATTCATGCTTACCCACTGCCAATTTTGCCTACCCACTGCTCATCTCTTTCTCTTATATAACTTGATAAAAACCATCAATAGCAACCAACAGGTACTGAACGTTTGTTCTAACATTAAAGTTCATTAGATAAATCATCTGCCTTCTGGGTTATCACAGAGTTTTCCAAAAAGTTTAGCACTATATGACATAGGTCACCATCCTTTTAGCTCCCCACAACATTTTCTTTGTCGATTGTTGCATGACCCTTAAGGTAGTGACTTATGTTTTAGTTTTTCTTTAAGTCTGGACCTAAGTCTTAATAAGTCAGGACAAACTGGCATCTAAATAAAAAAATTTCCAGACATTTCAGAATGAAATTCATAGTGAGGCAAAGATGAATCAGTTAAAAACAGATCAAGAAGGGGCTGGCATTGTGGTGTAGCAGGTTAAGCTGCCACCTGTGATGCCCACATCCCATATGGACACTGGTTAGAGTCATAGTTCACTTCCAATTTAGCTCCCTGCTAATGTGCCTGGGAAAGCAGCAGAGGATGGCCCAAGTACTTGGGCTCCTGTACCCACATGGGTGACCCAGATGAAGCTCCTGACTACTGGCTTCAGCCTGGCCCAGTCCTGGATTTTGTGGCCATTTGGGGAGTGAACCAACAAATGGATGATCTCTCTCTCTCTCTCTCACTCTGCTTTCAAGTAAATAAATAAACCTTTTAAAAACCAACCCCCCAAATAGATCAAGAAATGGTACAAATAAAAGAACTTGTAAATAAGGACATGAAAACAGCTGTGAATATATAATGTATATTAAAGAAGGCAGGAAGAAGCATGTGGAGATTAGAAAGAGACCAGGAAACAAAAAAGAGATACAGGAACAGGCATTTGGTCTAGTGGTTAAGATGCTGCCTGGGATGCTCCATTCCATCGTGGAGTGCCTGGGTTCAAGTTATTACTCTGCTCCCAATTTCAGCTTCCTGCTTCTGCAAACCTTTGGGAGCAGCAGATGATGGCTCAAGTAGTTGTTCCCTGAAACTCATGTGGGAGAGTTGAATTGAATTTTTGGCTGTTTGATTCATCCTAACCTAGAGTTGGATGTTAGGGGTATTTGGAGAGTGAAGCAGTGGATAGTATCTCTCTCTCTCTCTCTCTCTCTCTCTCTCTCTCTCCCTCTCTCTCTCTCCCTCCCTCCCTCCTTCCCTGTTTCTTCCCCTCAAATAAATAAATATAAATATAAATATAATTTTAAACAGAGATCCAAAGTAAACTTCTAGAGATGAAATACAGCATCTAAGATGAAAAATGAGTGGAATTAAGAGCACATTAGACACTGAAAAAGAAATGAGTAGTGAACTTAAAGACAACAATAAAAACTAACCAAAACAAAAGAATAAAGGTATTTTTAAAAAAGAGAAGATCAGTGAGTTGTGGTACAACTTCAAACATCTCTATATATAGGTAACTGGAGTTTCAGAAGGAAAGAACAAAAGGTGCTTGAAAACACAACGAACAAAAAATTTCCAAATGTGGTAAACATTACGAACCCAGGAAGTCAATGAAACTTAGGCACAAGTAACAGGAAGAAAACTATACTAAGCATATTAATAAGCATATTATTATTGAATTGCCTACTATCCATGATAGAGAAAGTCTTAAAAGGAATGTAAGACAGAAAACACTACAAAGAGATAAAGATAAGAATAGCAGACTTCTTTTTTGAGACCATGCAAGCCAGAAAATAGTGAAACAAGAATTTAACAGTGCTTGAATAAAAACAAAACTGCCAAATTAGGATTCTATACCCACTGGAAATATGGCTCCAAAGTGAAGTCGAAATGAAGAGATATGGAAGCTGGATGAGTTATTGCCAGTAATCAGCAATGTTCAGTGAAAACCTTCAGGTGAAAGGAGAATGATGTTGGATGGAAATCTGGATCTAGCTGAGATAAAGCACCCTTAAAAGACAAATGGATAGGTAAATATAAAAGGCTGCTCTTGTTTTACAAATTAAAAATTGTTTTGTAATATAGGTAGAAGTAAGGTTTTATAATGTAGTGGAAGTATGTTAAATGAAAATAGAAGCATGAAGGATGGGACAGAGCAGATGGTGCTCTTGTAAGTTTCTTCTAGCATATATGAAGTGATATGTTATTTGAGGAAAGACTGTGAAAAGTTAGATATAATGTGTATGCTACAAACCCTAAAGTAACTAAAAAACAACAAAATACAAGGATGAATAGCAATAAACCAATAATGGAGATAAATAGATTTATAAAATATATTCGGATGATCCAAAATGAGAGTAATGAGCTGATGGCACAAATCAAACACAAATAGCAAGATGGCAGATTGAAATGTTACTATATCTATCACATTAAATGTAAAAATTAGAAACACCTTAATTAAAAGAGATCATCAAAGTGGGTAAAATAAGCAAGACTCTACATGCTGTTTATAAGAAACCTACTTTGTAAAAACAAACTGGTTAAAAGTGAAGAAACAGGAAAATGAATAGAAAGTGGCTATACAAGTTTCAAGAAAAGTAGATTTCCAAGCAAAGAATGTTATTGGGGATAAAGATATATCCTAATGATAAAAGGTGACAATTCATCAAGAGGACAAGATGATATGAATATGCCCTTAATAACAAATATTCAAAACACATGAAGGAAAAATAGGTTCACAATTATAGTTGGAGATTTGCCCATCCTTATTTCAAGAATTGAGAAGCATGTTTACAGAAGGTAATTAATTGATAAGAATTTAGAAAATGAACAATTCTGTCAACCAACTAATTACCTACATAGAACAATTTGCCCTGAAACATCAGAATATATGATCTTTTGAAGTACATAGGGAACCTTTACCATGATAGTCCACATTCTGACCATAAAACAAGTATCATAAATTTAAAAGGATTCAAATTATGCAAAGACTATTCTCTGAAAATTTGTACTCTAATTAGAGATCAGTAACAGAAAAGTAGAATATTTCCAAATATGCTAACTTAGCTGAACAACATAGTTGTAAATAACTAAAAGAAAGTAAAAATATGGAACTTCAAAATTTGTAGAATGCAGTTAAGCTGTCAGTGTGATAGCAATTTATATAACTAAAATGCTTACATTAGAAGAGAAGAAAGACCTCAAGTCAAGTCCTGTGCTTCCAGCTTTAAGAAACCAGAAGCAGAAAGGTGAATTAAGTCCAAAGTAAGGAGAAGAAAGGAAGTAGTAAAGATTGGAAATGAAGTAAATAGAAGACATAAAATTTATAGAGAAAAATTGATGAGGCCTAAATATATGTCCTGAGAAATTAAAATTCTTTGGTAGGCTCCCTTGCTCATAAGATAAAGTCTAAAATATTTACTTTCAGTTCCTGTTTCTGCATGGTTTGGCCTGCACTTCTTTCACAGACCATATTTCTTTTTTATTTTCTGTTATGTTTATTCTGGCCTTTTGGATCTCTATTGTCCTCTCTATTGGCACATTACCCTTGCACATGCTGTGTTCCCTATTTGCATGCTCCCCACCTGTCTCCATTTTCTTTGTCTCCTGCTGGTTTCCACTGAGTTGATGTCCACTTGTCCTTTAAATTTACGTTTGGTGTCCTAGTGTAGTATAAACTCTACCCTGATCTATAAACTCCACTAAAACTAGAGACATATTTATTTTGTTCATGCTTTTATCTGTAGTACATTAAAAAAATGCCTGGCTCATAGTGGATTATCAAAATATTTGTTAAATGAATAAACAAATTTTAATAATTGATTTTCTTATGATGTGACCAATTCAAGTATCACTCCTCTTCTGCATCTCATGAATTAATATCCTGAGAGTTTTAAGATCATTACTCTTGGACTTATGGTAATTGAGAGACAGAATTTGGTGATTTCACCGTCTTCACTTATTTGATCCATTGCTTTGTGAAGATCTGCTGGAAAGTCCATTTTGTATTCTGATGTATGTTATTACATACATGTGTAAATGTGTAAATAAAAAATGGTGTAAAGTTTTATTTAAGGCTACCGTTGGGTTTGTTTCCTTGTATCACTCATATGAAAGAATCTTGACTCAATTTGTGTGGAATGGACTAGTTAAAAATAATGGTTTAAAAAAGATAAACCACAATAATCTAAAAATATCCCAATTACAGATATTTTACTCTGCAATTTTAAAGACATATCAAGTGACTACAAAGTGAAATCAATGTCTCCACACTCTAATATCAAGAAATGCACAAAAAGTTAAGAAAACTAGTATTGGTTGAGTTATTGTATCCCAGATATTGTCTTTGAATATTCCATTTTTTAATTCTTCACAACTCTATAAATAAGAATTGTGACTATTTTAAAGACAAACATTTGATGATTTACTCAACATCACAGGGTTAACATGGCATCAGAATTCAAAACCTGTCGTATTTTCATTGTTGCCTTCTCCCAACTATTAAAAAAATTTGTCATCCTAAGGACCAAATGTTTCAATCCTAATACTACATTAGCTAACAATGGTTAGCAGTTATCAGTTTGTGTGACTATGACACAGTTGAATGATTTCTCTGAACTAAAATTGTGATCAACTTATTCACAGATAGGACCCTAGTAAGAAAAAGAAGGTAGAGGTAAGCTTTTATTTAACATCAACTTAATTCTTCTCTAAGATGCCAATTCTCTATAACATAAGTCCAATGAAAAACATAACAGTGGAAACTAAGAATAAAATTTAGGTAGTCAAATGATTTAAGTTAAAAATTGCTCACTAGCATCTAATTTGGGTTACTGTAGGAAAGTCTGGGAGATAAAGAGAATGAGGAAAATGGTATAACTGACGGTATTCAAAAAATCCATGGAAAACATTGTGGAGTGCTCTCATAAAGTGACAAGAATCACAAGTGTGATTTTGTGAGGGTTGATAAGAGTGAAGGTCTTTATTCACAGTTTAACATTTAATATTGGAAAGTAGGATTGCAAGAAAAAACCCTAAAAAAAAGCCCCTCTGAGACATGTAATTTTTAACTAAATTTCAGCTTGTTCCTGGAACTATGAACTGAAACATTTGATTCTTCAGCAGATAGGAAACTATGTCAAAGAATCTTCTGATGTCATAATTTCTGGGTGTCACTAGAACATTTGGTCATCATCCCTTGGCAATTCCCTTCTATGGACAGTCAGTAGAAGCGGTTGATTTATTCACCTCTACAGGAATCAGACTTGGCTTATTTTGGTAAGTTTATGTCTCCTTGATCAAGTTAACTAAATACCTTTATAAATAGATAGTTATATTCAACCAGAGTTTACTTGGTTTTACCAAATCATTACTGAATAAAACACTTCTTCCTTGGTAATGGAAACAGTCTATAAAAAGTGTTACATAATATTAAAATTCTTAAATATTAAAAATATAGTTTTATTGTTACCACCAGCAGACATTTACTTATTAGGCACAGAATACTATACTAGGCATAGGAAAAACTTGTAAGACATTGTTCACTTTTCTATACTTTTATATTGAAGATATGCAGATTCCTTCAAGATAGTGTTATTAAATGCCCACTTGGTACTGACAGCTGCTCTAGATACTAAGGATTCAATAATGATAAAGACAGACATGGAGGGGTCTTAGGGCAGTATTTCTCAGCAGGAGGCGGTTTTGCCACCAGGGGACATTTGTCAATGTCTGGAGACATTTTTAAATGTTACAACTTTGGGGAGAGGCACTTTTGGGATCTGGTGGCTGGAGGCCTTAGACGTTACAGACGTCCTTGGATCCACAGGGCAGTCTCCTCATCCCCAGAGAAGAATTATCTGATTCCAAATGTTAATAGATGAGAATAATGATAACTGTATAAGACAGAAATAAAGGGTGGTATGAAAACTTCCATGATAGGGATTATGGAAGGATTCTCTGAGAAAGAAAAATATAAATTCACACTTAATGGGTGAGTTGACCCTAGAAAGAAAGGGGGGCAGTGGGGTCAGCCAGAGTTCCAAATACAGTAGGCAGTGAGGTGTTATGGTTGTATATAACATACATGTTTCATATATATCAATATATGTCATATATTCATGCATTTTATATGCCCAGTAGCATTTAAGTAATCATAGTTAACATTCAGTGAGCATTTACCATGTGTTCAGCACTGTACTGTCCACGTATTTTATTTCATCCTCACTGTTACCCTGGAAGTAGAAATATTATTATTCACAATCTACCCTTAAGAGATGATTTAAGTTCTTCTACTAAAATGTAGTTGGTGAAGGCCAGAACCAGGATTTGAAATCTTGTCAGTCCAGCTCTCCCAAGGCCGCTTGCTTAAAACTGAAATGTAAATGTGCAGAGGTAGAGGAGGAATGAATGATCATAGGAACAGAAGGATTGGCTGTAGATATCTTGGTGGACGTGTAACCACTGAAAAGATGAGATGAGTGCAGATATGTGGAGAGGCGATGGGGGTTGAAGTAAAGACTCAAACTTGTTAACTGCAACAACCATTTAAAGATGAATTGATTCTTTTTTTCACAAAACAGAAATGGACTTCAGTTTTATTAAATGTATTTATTTGGAAGGTAGAGTGATAGGGAGAGAGGGAGAAAGGGAGAAAGGGAGAGAGAGAGATTTCATCTACTGATTCACTCCTCAATGGCTGGAGTTGTTCCAGTTTGAAGCTAGGAGCCCTGAACTCCATTGGGTCTTCATTGTGGGTGGCAGATATCCAAGCACTTGGACCATCTTCTATTGCCTTCCCAGGTGCATTAGCAAGGAGCTAGATTAGAAGCAGAGCAGCCAGGACTTGAACTGGTGCTCTGATATGGGAAGCTAGCATTGCAAGTGACTGATTGCACCAAAATGCTGTGCCCTGGACTTGAATTATGTTAACAATAGAGCATGGTTTACTTTTATAACTTGGTGGCTGTTTTGTATTTGCTACAGACTTAAAATTGTATGTAAGGGATAATTATGTATTGTAATTTTTAACATTTTTATAGATTTTAAAAAATGTTATTTTCAAAATATTTCTGTATGCCTGTAACAAAACAGTAAATCAGAAGTTCTAAACAACTCTGAAGATATCCCTTCCCTTCCTCCTCATTGCTTTTACTTTATAACCCAGATTTTCAGTGAATTATGCCTTTTCGGTTTGGGACCCAGCCAAGGAGCTTTCCACTGGAAGGAGGAGATTCTTCAGTTGGGCTGGAATTGGGGCTGAGCTCCAGTGCTGCCTGTAACGGGAAAGAGATATCACCAACCAGGTAAAGTCTTCTGATTCTGACAACTGAGGAAAGGTATATTGGTTATCATTGTTACATGCTCTAGCTGATATTTAATATTAGCAAGAAAAAAGGAATTCAAGCATTGCTGTTATTAAATCAATATTAAGAGTCCAGATTTTCTTGGCATAGAGTGTGTATTTTGTGTCTTTCCAAGCCTTTATGATAGACTAATTCTTTCTTTTTGGTGCATTTTTAGTTGGACTGTTGACAATTTCAAGATTAGATGACAGTCAATTTAACAAATAAGCCTTTAGTGCTAGTATGTGCTGAGCACTGTGATGGGCAGGCATATAGCTACAAATAGGAAAAAGACTCAGACTTATATTCAATATCATTTTGGCTTTGACTTGACCTTTGGCGGAAAGCAATAACAGAAAAAATTCTATTTCTTCAAAATTGAAGAAAACCAATGCCAAGTCAGTTTGTTCCACTTTTCTGCTGTTTGCCATACCTAAACAGCAAATATTACATTGTTAGATTTCACATGGCTTGTAAATATTTGAAACAGATTTAAGCTTGATAAAGTAGTGCTTTAAAAATCAGAGTTATCCAAGGATGAAATAGCCTACTTTTGGGAGTAATAAGCTCTTTCTCTTTAGAAAAATTTAAGCCTGGGTAACTGGTGGGGTTGTTGGAAAGGAAATAAATACACTAAATGTATTTTTGGACTAGGTGTCACTAACAGCCATTTCACATCTGACATCCTATCAACATTTGAACATTATGTAAACTAGTATTGCAGGGGCTGGTGCTGTGGTACAGTGGGTTAAAGCCCCAGTCTGCAGTGCCAGCAACCCAAATGGGTGCCAGTTTGAGTCCCGGCTGCTCCACTTCCAATCCAGCTCTCTGTTATGGCCTAGAAAAGCAGTGGAAGATGGCCCAAGTGCTTGGGAGACCTGGAAGAAGCTTCAGGATCCTAGCTTCAGATCGGCCCAGCTCTGGCCATTGAGGCCAGTTGGGGAGTGAACCAGTGAATGGAAGACCTTTCTCTCTCTTTCCTCTCTATTTGCGTCTGCCTCTCTGTAACTCTGCCTTTCGAATAAATAAATCTTTTAAAAAAAGAAGTAGTATTGCAGTTTTATATATACTTTCACAAATATTCTAGTTTCAAAATCACTCAACTGAAGTGAATTTTAAGGTACCCAGAAAAATAAATTGTCTTAGTATTATCACTTATATTTATAACTGTGTACTTTTTGCCAGTTAGCAATCACTGATTATCTTTCTTTCCTTTTTTTAAAGATTTATTTATTTGAAAAAGTTACACAGAGAGAGAAAGACAGAGAGCTCTTCCATCTGCTGGTTCATTCTCCAGATGACCACACTGGCCAGGGCTGGGCCAGGCTGAAATTAGGAGCCAGGAGCTTCCTCCTGGTCTCTCATGTGGGTGACAGGTGCCCAAGTACTTGAGCCACCTTTGGCTGTTTTCCTAGGCATTAGCAGGGAGCTGGATAAGAAGTGGAGCTGCCAGGACTCCAACTGGCATCCATATGTGATACCGGTGTTGTAGGTAGTGGCTTTACCCACCATACCACAATGATCCATATCTTTCAAACTGAATATCTAGAGCAGGGGTATGGAACATCTGGCTCATGGGTTGTATAAGGCCTATGAGATTATTTGGTCTAGCCCTATCAAGGCAACTGCAAGCAGGTCAATAAATCTGTAGCAGGCTAATTTTTAAGTTGATAATTTTATATGGCCCTTGAATGATGTTATAAATATCCAAATGTCCCTTGGCAGAAAAAATGTTTCCCATCCTTGATCTAGAGGATTATCTTTGTATTTATAAATTTCCTGTAATTAAATATATGGTAACAGCCACAGTTTCTTTGCACACAAGATGTCTACATTGTATTGATGCTACTTATTTTGTGATAGTCAAAGTTTTCAAAGTTATTTAGAACAGTTGAGTACATACTCAAATTTTGGTGCTCTAAAAATATTTCCTATTTAGCACATAACTACATCATTTGTTCTTTTATTCAGGCAACTTCGAAGATGCCCTGGAAGTCATTGCCTGACAATAACCGATGTTCCCATCACTGTCTATGCAACAATGAGAAAGCCACCTGCACAAAGCAGCAAGGAAATGCATCCTAAATAGCATCATGAAGTCTTTTGTAGAGGGTTGACTAGGTCAAGGGTAATGGGCAAGGATCATCTTATAATCTGGTAAACAAATAAAGTGGTGGCACTGTTGGATGATGACAATAGTTGAGCAATCTCATTTTAGTATAAGAGAACTGTAGTCAACAAAACACATGTAGCAATCAGTTATATCTGATAGATAAAACAGTAATATTTCACAATTTGAAAGTGCTTTTGAGGTCATCTTGCTCACAGAAGATTATTAATATTAATAACTCAGGATGAAATTTAACCTATTATGGGCAGCCCCCCCATTCATGTGGGGACTATCTTGTGTGATTTTTAGAAATTATTTCAGGCCGGCGCCGCGGCTCACTAGGCTAATCCTCCGCCTAGCGGCGCCGGCACACCGGGTTCTAGTCCCGGTCGGGGCGCCGGATTCTGTCCCGGTTGCCCCTCTTCCAGGCCAGCCCTCTGCTGTGGCCAGGGAGTGCAGTGGAGGATGGCCCAGGTGCTTGGGCCCTGCACCCCATGGGAGACCAGGAAAAGCACCTGGCTCCTGGCTCCTGCCATCAGATCAGCGCGGTGCGCCGGCCGCAGCGCGCCGGCCGCGGCGGCCATTGGAGGGTGAACCAACGGCAAAGGAAGACCTTTCTCTCTGTCTCTCTCTCTCACTGTCCACTCTGCCTGTCAAAAAAAAAAAAAAAAAAAAAAAAAAATTATTTCAGTATGTCTCAAAAATTTTCTCTGACAAATTTATGGAATTTTTTTCCCTGTATTTTCTTGAAATTTGATAAGCTTACTTATTATGAATTCTTTTTATTTTATTTTATTTAAAAAATGATTTATTTATTCGAAAGGCAGTTACAGAGATGCAAAAGCAGAGAGAGAAAGAAGTCCTCTATATTTGCTAGTTCAATTCCCAAATCACCACAACTGCCAGAGCTGCGCCTATCTGAAGCCAGGAGCCGGGAGCCTCTTCTGGGTCTCCCACGTGGGTGCAGGGGCGCAAGGACTTGGACCATCTTCCACTGCTTTCCAAGGTCACAATAGAGAGCCAGATCAGAAGTGGAGTAGCTGGGACTCAAGCTGGTGTCCATATGGGATGCCGGCACTGTAGGTGGCAGCTTCATGCACTACGCCACAGCACCAGACCTGTTATGAATTCTTTATCAGGCAGCCTTTCTACCTCCAAATTTTTTAGGGTCAGCCACTGGCTGCCTACTTTGTTTGATGAGATCAAATTTCCCTGATTGATTTTTATGTTTCTGGCTGTGTGTTGATATCTGTGCATTGATATAGGTAAATAACCTATATTTCCAGTCTGGCTTTATTTGGGAGCTTCCTTTGGCAGTACGTCTTTCCAGAGATCCAGGGTAGGTTGACTGATGAGATCCTTAATCCCATGAACACTTAAGCTGTTGCAGTATCTAAGTCCTAAGCCCAGGACCACAGGCAGTGGAATCCTTTTGGCCACACGGTCCTGGGCTGCACCCAAAGCCCATGGCCAGACCAGTGCAGCACAAGGAATGCCCAAGTTTGCAGCTGCTATGGCCTACCTGATGCTGAGGTTTATTCAGAGCTTAATGCCACGGTAGTTGGTTGGCAATGATGTGGCCAGAACTCAGCCTATCCTGCTGGGGCTTTGGGTTCCTGTCTGGTACTGGGGTAGGGTTAGAGCCTCCTTTGTTGCAGGATGATGAAGGAAATCTTGGTTCTTATATCATGTTGAAGAAGAATTTCCATGTGGACAGTGACAGTGAGCAACGTGAAATTTAAAGTGAGAAACCTACAGCAGACAGAAGGGGATTCCAAGGGAGGAGTTGCCAGAGAAGTGCTGGCTGTTTTATACACAAAGTGGCTTTCTGAGATTGGCCCCTTTCTTAGAAATGAGTACAGATTTAACCAATCAGAGGAGGAGCAAAATAACAACCAATCAGAAGGCAGGGATAGCAACCAATCAGGGAACTGAAAGTGTATGCTAATGAGGTATACCACGTGAACCAGTCAGGGAACTGATTTTGGAGGAGCCTGTTTTGCATAGAAGTGTGCAGAGTTCTCAGGTCTGTTAGGCAGACTCAACAACATCTGACAAGTATATCAAGATTACATTTTAGGGGCCAGTTGGCACAGTAGGTTAATCCTCTGCCTTCAGTGCCAGCATCCCATATGGATGCCGGTTCTAGTTCCGGCTGCTATTCTTCCAATCCAACTCTCTGCTATGGCCTGGGAAAGCAGTGGCTGATGACCCAAAGTGCTTGGGCCTCTGCACCCTCATGGGAGACCTGGAGGAGGCTCCTGGCTCCTGGCTTCAGATTGACCCAGCTTCGGCCATTGGGGCTATTTAGGGAGTGAACCAGCAGTTGGAAGACCTTTCTCTCTGTCTCTTCCTGTTACTGTCTGTAACTCTGTTTCTCAAATAAATAAATAAAATATATTTTTTAAAAGATTACATTGTATATGTTTCCCTGTCTCCAGTCTCCCCCTCCCTTTGGGCTCCCAGGGAGTTATATCAAGTTATATCATGTATTTTTTCTTTGCTATTTTTCTTTTCTATCCAGGGTCTGCTGGAATTCCTATCACCTTCAGGAGTACTGTCTTGGTGACAGGGGCCTAGGGGCCTGTCTGGTGCTGGGTTTTACTGTGGTGAGGCCCAGTACTAGGTTCCAAAGCAAAGTCCTATACTTCCTTCTCCATCCCCAGTGGACAGTGTCTTTTTTTCATGCTGCAGAAATATCTGGGCCTGGAGGAGTGATGCTTCCTTTCCTCTTCAATGTCTCTTTTCTTGTTATTTTGCAAAAACCAGGTACTTTGATCTCTTGTCTGGTTTCTTTAGCTCTTGTGAGGATATTTTTGTGGGCACATAATTATTCAAATTGAGGTTTCTATGGCACAGACGGGAGGAACTGGAGAGTCCTACCCTGCCATCTTGCTCCCCACTTGGGCCTGTTCTAAATGCTTAGTATGTTTCAAGCTGATTTCCTTTGCTGATATTTGGGTTGCTGTGTGATTGGATCCTTTCACCTGAATACCCAAGGCAGTTTCTCACTTAGAATCTTTTTGACAATGCTCTGCCAAGGAATAATTACACTGTGTGAGAAATGGAGCCCTGGGGTTGTGCATTTCAAAATACCTCCAATTAAAGAAAATTCTTAGTTCATGGTTAATATGCAAAGTGTTTAAATTATTTCCATGTGGGTTCTCATAATATCGGTTAAACTGATTGATAATAAGGTCAAGGTCAGAATTCTAGCTCTTAATTCTTTAGGAAAAATGGCATCCCCATATCACATTGTACCTCAAGTCCCACATGGTCATTTTGAAATTGTCTGCACTGGGTATTGAGAAACCTCATATAGATCTTTTTATTTGGTTAAACTTTAAGGATACTTATGAGGTTTTGCTAAACTCTAGGTATTTTCTTTTTCTTCTTAGAAAGTCCTGAAAGGACTGCTTTTCTTTCCTCTTTAAATTTTTTTTAACATTTATTTTAGAGGCAGTGGCAGGGAGGTGGGGGAGATATCTCATCCACTGGTTCATTTCCCAAATGCCTGCGACAGCTAGGGCTGGATAAGGATAATGTGAGAACTGGGAAGTCCCACTGAGCCATTACCTGCTGCCTCCCAGGTGTACACAGTAGGAAGCTGGAATGGAGAGCAGATCTGGGACTGGACCCTAGGCACTTGGATATGGGGTGCAGTCATCCCAAGTCACAGCTTAACCTCATGCCCTTCCTTTTCTTTTGATGACTGCCACTGTCTATCCAATGGAATTCTCTTCTTCAAAAGACTGAGGGTCAGATACAATTCACCCACCCACTTTGCCACTGCTGAAGATACACAAAAAGACTTTTAAAATGAAAATTGTAGGGGCTGGTGCTGTGGCGTAGTTTAACGCCCTGGCCTGAAGCGCCGGCATCCCGTATGGTCACCGGTTCGAGACCCGGCTGCTCCACTTCCCATCCAGCTCTCTGCTATGGCCTGGGAAAGCAGTAGAAGATGGCCCAAGTCCTTGGGCCCCTGCACCCACATGGGAGACCTGGAAGAAGCTCCTGGCTCCTGGCTTTGGATTGGCACAACTCCTGCCATTGTGGCCATCTGGGGAGTGAACCATCAGATGGAAGACTCTCTCTCTCTCTCTCTCTCTCTCTGCCATCTCCTCTCTCTGTGTAACTCTAACTTTCAAATAAATAAATAAATCTTTAAAAAATGAAAATTGTATTAGCTTATAATTACATGTGCTTAGATTCATGTATATTATGTTAGATGAAAAAGAAAAACTGCATATGAGTTATCAGATGAAAAACTCGGAGCAGTCCCACAGAGCTGGGAGATGTCTGAATTCCCACCAGTCAAAATGAAAAGACCATGTTGAACATGTGGGACGTTGAGCAGAGACTCAGAAAGGTCATGCCTTCTTGTGTAGTGAAAAGCAGCACTAGGCTCAAGGCTAATACTTAGAGTCTTCCGAAAAGTTCATGGAAATGCATAATATGAAAAAAACTACGTGTGTATTAAAAATTGTTTTTGCCACACAAACATCTTTGAATTCCATTTTCCGTAAGCTTTTTAAAGTGCCCTCATATATGCCAACTTTATCAAGAGAAGTAACCTAGGTGTCTGCCAAATACAAACACCACACTCCTAAGAGGAGCAAGCAAAATCCGGACAGGAAATTGCCCAAGACCGGGGAAAGAAGGGAGCAATGAAAAATTCATCAGAGCCCATTCAAGGCTGGGAATAATTTGTATTTTAACTGTAGTGAAAATGTCTTTCACTAAATGGGTTATGGAGTCCTTAGCAAGGTATTATCAAAGTGGGAGATGGGAATATCCTTAGGTTGAAGGCTGCTCTGAACCTACCCTAACATAGCTGAAGAGGGCAAGACTTGAACAAATCAATTTTAAGCAAATTAACTACATTCAAAGGGGTAGAGGTGTGGGAGCTCAACATTTAGAGAACTCTGATAAAATCCAGTACCAAAAAATGTGAAATGTACAACAATCAGTGTCTAATAAAAAATTACTAGGCGTGCAAAACGAGAAGGAAAATACAGGGGCCGATGTTGTGGTGTAGCAGGTATATCTGCCTCCTGTAGTGCTGGCATCCCATATGGGTGCCGGT